ATTATACGACTAATAATATTCAAAACCGCCGGGGTCAATTTCATCTGAAAGAAATAAGAAAGACCAAATTAAACTATGTAAAATAGTATAATGTACTAATTTACGATGCTATATTCGGTGATTAATATTCATACTTGTGAAATTTCTGATATCTTCAAATAAATAAGCAAACCAAAAATATATGGGCAAAATACAGAACTGTTACTTGTACTAAATGTGGTGTGTTTTTCATCAGCTAGCCCAAATAAATATCGTTAAATATCAGTGACTGCTCAAGTGGTAAATGCCTCGTCGTTTGGAATTTAGCCTTCCGAAAAAATATAATGCACGATGCGCCTAACATTGATTTGTAAAAAACACAAAAGATGAAAACTCAAATGTTTGATTGCGTGTATAAATTTCCGTAATCTTTGACATCTTAAATAAAAACTATGTTCTCGCTAAAATATGTTTCAAGTAACACGGGTTTTGTTTTATGACAATAGACTTGTTACTATTATCAAATGCGCTACACTTTAAATATAGCTTTATTTTGGCAGTATTTTTTCATATATATTTATATCAATCAAGACAATGAACTATTGCACAGAGGTTCCTCGAGTCCATGGAATGTTTCAATGGGGTTCAGTTCCATCAAAAAGTCCAAAAACCACCGTTTTAAACGATTCTGTAAATAGAGTTAATAGCATGAAACTTTACTTGAAATGGCTGTCCATTTTGTGTTGCCAAAGTTTCTATCAAAAACTTGGTTTCTTCGACAACATTTTCTTCCATTTCTTTTTTGCCGACTCCAACCCTGTTATAAAAAATTATAACATGTCAGTAAAATTATAACAAATAATAAATATTCAAATAAACTGCCAATGAGCCATATGTGCCGGTAAGATTTTAGCTGAGTACCGGGTTATTCAAACAGATCTCCGCGCTCACTTGAAGGTCAGCGATAATATCAAAAAATGCTATTTTGGGTTGAAATATCGCGCAGAAATTAATAATCAAACTAAAAAGTAATACTCGTCTAGTGACTGCTACTATATCTAAATACTGAAGCGTGGAAACTAGGAAATTAAGTGATACATTGGAATAATAATGAAATAATATTAATAATTCATTGCTTCTGGGTACTTACCCTCTTAAAGTCAAACCACCAAATTTGTGTAAAGCTTTCCATATTGGGCCGTAATCCAAGTTCAGAAAACCTCCACCTTTAGATATAAGCTCGTATGCAATGTTATGAGGTCGTCCAGAAAACTTCTCACTCTGCTTCACCAGTGCCTGAACAGGTATAACATATCACAGAAGATTAGAATTATTTCAGGTAAGCAGGTTGATCCGAAGAAAAATCATGATTTTTTTAATTATAAGCAAAAGTGAAGAAAATTTATTCAAACCTTGATTTTCTGTTTGCGTATATTGAACCCAAAACTGTAAGTAATCATGAACGATTTGCACAAAAGTTATTATCTATCTAGGTTCTAGAATATTTTTCAAGGGACATGAGTTCTCTTTTTGGGTACCCCTTTAGTGAGCGAATCAAATAAAAGAAAATTGAAATATGGCTTTGAGATTTGGTATAGGCTGCTCAACGCACAAATTACGCGTCGATTTAATGTCTGTGTTGAAAGTACGAAGCATTGCGCCGCAAGTTGCATTTTGGGGGTTTGCAGGTCTGCATACCTTGTTGGATTATAATTTAAAGGACATTTATTAGACAATCGATGAGATCTTTATAAACGATTATATATATTTAAATTTATTATATTTCAATGATAATTGTTTTACGTCGTTATATGCTCTTCACTTATAATATATCTTGAATTAGTTAATAAACGTTTTCTCACCTCATGAATGACGTCAAAGTCGTTCAAAACCACCCAATTTTCACGTCCAAATGGAACAGACATAACAGATCCATATTTCACTTTCATTTGTCTCAAAGTCTCCGCAGGATTTTTTCCAAAAAACGGAATATACCCGACAAGAGGGAGACCATGAGGACCCGGTGGAAAATTCTTTGGTCGTTTCTGAAAGTAGCAGCATAGCATAAACGCCGCCACACCAGAAAAAACCGTTGAATAGTCGATATATTCAAAAGCAGTCATGTTGTAAACCTTCTCCACAATATCAACAAGTTCAATTTTACATGAGCTTGCAAAAATAAAATTCTGCGTTTAAAACGGTATTTTAATGCAATGTCGCTTAGAAAAATGATTTCCACAAACAGCTACAATGTTAGACGATATGTAGGCAATAAATGAAATAAATTTGTACGTCGATTTCAATTCAAATAGATTCTTCTATCATTTCGTAAAGAGCTTCGCTTCTTCACATTCTAGTGAAGCCTGAAAAGAATGTATAAATATTTGTTTGCTACATCAGTGCCGTATTTATTAAAAAAGTATACTTTGTGGTAAATATTTTTAGGTTTTCTGCAATTTCACGACATCCACAGTCCGCATTTACCAAATAAGTTATTATTTACTATGACACTGTTGGATATATAAAATAATGTACATGATTCTTAGACGGATAACTGGATGCACTGGACGAAATGCCTTAGTCATATCAATAAGCTGTCTTATGGGATTTTCTCTCTCACCCCGGATAAATAGGAGAATTCTATGCTATCCAACATTTCCCCCAGCATTTAGGCTTTCGAGAGCTCCATGAATTCTAGTTTATGATCATGGCTAACTGGGGTTCGCTGAGAAAATGTCACATTTTATAGAGAGGACGGCCACAAAGGATATGTTTCTCTTTCACCCGAAAACGCTTACACACAACATGATCTGACACACAACAACATGACATTGCAATTATTCGACTTTATAGCAACTTTGCACATTTGCAGATTTTCTACCTCAATCATGTACAAAGAGAACATCAACTTTAACCAATAAATTTGCCAACCAATAAATGAAGTTAACCTTCTTCCACTATCAGGCTTGTACATTCATACATTCCGAGTTACATATTACATAATATTTTACCTCACCTATAGCGTGGAACTGATTATAAAATTGAGGGATTACGGAGCTTCATTCTTGAGCTGCTGGCCAATTACATACCCGGGAATATAGTTTGATGAAGCTTGATTTTTAATTCACTCTTGGGACTATATATGTTTAGTGCTATTGCTGATTTTTAGTCCTTTTTTGAACCGACTTAAACGGACCCAAATCTGGCCCGCTAATCGCATCGTCTCGGTTTGTAAATTGTCAGTGACGCAAGACAACATAATAAGATATTTTCGCTCATAAATATTTTATCGTATAGAATACAGTTTTATTTTTTTTTGCAAAATTTTTAGCAGGAAATTAAAAATATTTTAGCAGATACATAGTTTTTTCATGATCAAATGAAAAAACAGGCTTGGTCGTCGCAATCGTTATGGGTCTTTAAATATGTTTATTAAAAATGTGTCGTGTTTTTGACCAGCTGCTTCCGTATAAAGCATTAATATGTTGTAATTTTCATTGACACAAAAAATATCTACAATTTTCATTTCGACACCAAATTGAAAATTTTTTGATTCCAACTCCGGTAACTACGTCAGTTTGATCGGAATTTTTAACTCAACTCAGCTCCAAATCAAAATTTCAAATTATATTACTAAATAATTGGCGCACGCACGTCTTTTTTAAATTGACCGTGGAAAAATAAAGATATATTTAGAAATATTTTGCTTTTGTTTAGGAATGTTTAACTTTTATTATTACCATTAGGAGTTTAAAATTCAGGTTCACAAAGCGACAACGAGAAATTCAAAATTTAACTCCTACGGCTCGGACGAAAACGATAAAAACCCTCTCCGGAATATGACTTCAGTTGCACAATCTTAGAAGTATTGCCCACTTATATCGAGACATTGTAGAAGAGCAAGACTTAGTTGAAATTTATTCTTAGCAAAAAGTATAATTTTTCACGGAAATTTACCTTGAGACATTTTGTGTTTTACTTAGACGAAGTATTGCGACATCTGTTTGACAAGAAACATTTATTTAAAGTTTGCAACGTGAGCATGAAATATATACAATTTTGTAAGCGCTTAGAATTTGCTCACGTAAGTAATGACCTATATAGGTAGAACACTTTTTGTCAATACATTCGTCTCGTCTGCGGTTAAGGATGTTTACTTAGACGCTGCAAAAATATGATTGCGGCATTTTGTTTAAACAACTTGACAAAAAGATGCAGATCTGTTTGCTAAAAGCCTTTCATGCCTTCACCCCAAACAAGGGTTAGATGTTAAACCTAGAAATATTAAAAATAGCAACTTTCTAATCCCATCAGTGACTTCTTGTATAAGGCAATTCTTGAAGTGAGAAATGTGAAAAGTAATGTAAAATACAATCATCCTTTTTTGACGCATCAAAATCTTGAAAATTTCAAACTTTGAGTGATTTACGCGATTGCTTAGAGTAACTTCCTTTTGAGGTGAAAGGCGTTAAAATCGTCGGATAATAATACAAACTTCCACTGATACTTGTGTCGATACTATGAAGAAACGGTAATCAATCAAGTTTGTCATTTCCTACCCATTTTATTACACCATGAGATGATACGAAATTCATTATTGTTTTGTTGGGAATTTCATTTTTATTAAAGATTATTACATGCAATTGTAAACCAAATATTACACATCGATATCATTTAATGTCCTTGGTAACTGTTAGTTGAGAAAATTTCTTCATAACGATGCAAAACATAAAAACATTTTCTTATCGGCTAAAGAATTTATATACTTCTTACATGAAAGTCGATTCATGAATATTCAACAATTAAAAAAAGATTTAATGGATATTTTGTCGTAATTGCTAAACAATTCCTGTTCCGTCCTGTTAGCAGCGTTAAAAGAGAGTCATGGATGAATTAAACGAATAAATAGAAGTTACACTTGCAGTTTTTTTTTGATATCTGTAAATGTTTGTTTTATTACACAAAATTATTTTATATATCGTTATAAGTATAGTTTCTGAATAAAATATGTCTTATTTGCTGATCTTCTATGTACAACGACACTTTGTATTATAATAATTTTAATTATTTATATGTATGTTATTGCTTCCAATTATATAAAGCTGATTTTTTAAATCACAAAATACAATTATCGTCGTTCAAAAACGACGTCAAACTGGGGTGGCTCGTATGTGACCATGCAGAACACACCGTCATTGAATGAAGGAAGGGGCTTTCCAGTGTGCGGAAACACTTTTAACTTTTGTAATATTCCCGTCAGAAATACAAAAATATCCATTCTTGCAAGTTGTTCTCCCAGACAATGTCGAGGACCGATCGAAAACGGAATCACGTGATTAGAACTGATGAATTTTCCGTCACGGTCGAGAAATCTATCTGGTAGAAATTCTCTCGGATTTTTGAAATATTTGGGGTCATAATGAACTGCCCAAATGTTCGGAACGATCTGCAATACAGATTTATATTATTAATGCTGAATCAATAGGAATTTTTATTAATTAATTTCTTACTTGTGCGAGTGATGGTATAAACGAAGGGTTAACTCGATGAACTTAACCCTGTTGGCATTTCATTTGAAAAATTATTTTGGAATTCAATGCGTGCGACCTAACCCGGGTTGATTTGAAATTGTTTAGGGAAAGACGAACGAAATAATTTTTTTTTAACTTATCGGTGGATACTTTTACGGAGTCTTGTTTTAGAAGAACTTATCATGAGTTTTTGTTTAGAGAGTTTATAATATATGGGTGTAAAATTTTGTGGATTATTTGCCCTATTGTTTTCTACCAGGGAATTCCTACAAGCGATGTCAACATCTAACATTTAAACTAATTTGCTGTCGTACAAGGATACTTTTGATGGTTATTTGCAAGAAGATTGCTGACAGCTCAACGTCGTTATGCAGTTCTATGAGTTGCAACTTAAAAATACATCTAAAAGCTATTTCCATAAATCGTCATATTTATCTTTTAAGGCGCTGTAATACAAACCGCAAAATAGTAATCAATATATTTGCAAATCCTACCGTCGTGTTTATTGGAATATTGTATCCATTCAGCGTCGAATCTTCGTTCGTTTTATGAAAGGCACTTAGTGGGAATAGAGTCCTATGTCTCATCAGTTCTTGTATGAAGGCACAAGTGTAAGGCATTTCATGTCGATGTTTCATTGACGGGACTCCGTCTTCGCCTGTTAGATTGAAAGAAGAATGTTAGAGACAGTATTATAAAAAATTCATTAAAATTAAATGATGACAAGAGAAATGCTGAAATATATATGAAAATACGTAAGGACAAGTGTTACTGTCGGAAACGGTGACGTAATGAAAGTTTGTTCTATAATTTTTTATAAGGACAACAATAAAAACAAAAATAATTACAATGAGAATTTATCAAAGTGATTCAGAGATACAATTCCTGTCCAATATGGTTCATATAGTAAATTTTATTTAAATGTAATTAGGAATTACATCGGTTTCCTTTTAATAGAAACTATGTACATTCTCGTTATTCGAATTGAAATTAAACAACTGTATGCAAACTTATGAAGTTGTTGAATCGATTATGTATGTCTTGCTACACAAATCAATGCCACATTTATTCACTATATTCACTCATAGTGATAAACATGTCCTGGTACAAATTCTCCGAGAACAGTTTTCAGTCGTCGTACTCGTTTGGATGAGAGCTGAGCTCCTATTTGTTTACTGTAAGTGCTCTAAGTTGAAAAACGAGTGGAGATCGCCAAACTTGGAGATTCAAACGCTAATTTCAGAACTCCAAAGAATCTCAGTTATTGGCCTTGGCCGTTGAGAGTTCTTGTCACGTATAGCCACTCTATAGATAACCACAAAGTACTATACTACTTTCAAATATATAAAATTAAATCTATATATTACCAAAGGTTGTCAGAATTTCCCCTACAATTTTTTCTTGGCATTCTGGGTAAGAGACCAGAGCGAGGAAAGCCCACGACAAAGTGCTGCTGGTTGTGGCTGATCCCGCATTGAACAGGTCACGCACGTACCTGACCAGTTGGATTTTCTGAAGTGAAAATAAAAATACAATTTGCTGATTTGAATAATTTATACAATTCATATTAAACAGGGTTATAAAATACGAGAAAATTTGTAATAAAATTCGACTTCAACTCCAGTTCCGAACTAAAAAAATAATAAATAAAATTATACGACTTATGCTATCCCTCACTTTGTTAAACTATTGTTAATGTATAGTAAACCTAATGTACTTTGAGTTTCCATGGAAAATCACAATTGATCATATCACTACTGAAAGACTGCAATTTCGAAATCTGAACTTCGGGAAGTATAAAATATACGACTCTCGATTCCGAATCTAACACCACGGCCCTGATATGAAATATCAAATTTTACATTGAAGACATCATCATCTTTTTCTCGTTTCTTCATTTCATTCAAAAAAGCATCAATAAAATCCCGGATGTCTGAATCATCAAAGTTCGAATCGTGTTCTTCTACAAATTCGCGTAGATATGCTAAAATATAATTTACTTTTGTCGTATCAATATTGAAGATGGACAAGAAAGCTCAAATATATAACCACTTAGGACTAAACGAAAGCAGTACTCATTGGAGTAGTTTACCATACCTTTAACATTATCGGTTCCGGTCACCTCATAAAACTTCCGAGTTTCGAATAGCTAGAATCAGCCGTCACGCTTAGCGGATTAAAACCGTGTTCCCATAATTAAAAAGTAATACAGCGAAATTTTGGATGAAATATTAAATCTCATAGGATTCATTGAGAATTGAGAAAGAAAGAAAAGTAATAGCCTTCCGACAAAATAATCAATCTTTCACCACTGAAAATTTAAAAACAATTGGTCCAGTATTCGTAAAGAAAAGCGATATTGTAATGATGAAGAAAAACAACAAGAACAACAATGAAAATACTAAGACAATCCATAGGTCCAATACATGTCCTATAAAAAAATAGGGAAGATGATGTCTAGCATCGGTTATGATAAATGAGCGACTAATTTGTTTAGAATATATCGGATATCCTTACCTATAAAGCAATCTGCTTCATCAGAGGTAACTTTCACGACATTGCTGAACGGCGGGACAAAACGTAAAATTGGAGCCAAGCTAACCGTGGATAACATGCGAGAATGAGGATTGTCTTCAAAGCTGTTGGTATAAAAAAGTAAGCAAATTTCCAAATAACGAAATAGTATGTGGTTGAATTTGTGAGTCAGAGCTAGGATCTTCAGTAAGTTAAGTTAAAGATCGATATAAATTTGAAGTTTTGTTTCGGATTCAGATAGTGCCAGTGCTGTGGTCAGGTATATTTCAATAGGTGATTATGTTTATATATCAATTAAAGAACTTGCTTCGAACAAAAAATCATTAAAAGCATCAAAATTCTCAAATATGACTTTGAGCAATATAGTACATCATAGCCATTTTCCAGTACCTTACCAGAATCGCATACACATACACAGCATACACAGCACGATTTGGGATATATTCATTTTTGTTATCAATGTAAAAGCATCTTTGACAGATCAAAATCTGGGATTTTACGCTAAAAATGTAAGGTAGCGTCTGGATGTAAGACCAAATTTTTTATAAATGATATTTTAAGGCTCACGTCAGTCGGTGTTCATTAACACGAATTTTACTAACGTATTTTTTATCTGGTGTCAGTATAACTTAAATATAGTATTTATTTCTTATGGGGGATGTCCGAGATTGCAGGATTTTTTCTCATAAAAAAGTCGCAAATACACTGTACAATTTGACGAAGAGCATGTATGTGCTAAAATAAACTTACTTCTTTGTAAATATTTCGACCATATGCTTTAATTTACTTCCATGGTATTTGAGCCTTGTACCAAACACTATTCGACAAACGATATTAGATAATGCAAGATTTAATTTCATCTGGAAGAAACAAAGTAGTGATCCCAAAATAATTATGAATCAAAGGAGCGGCAATAACAATATTAAACTGTAGTTGAACACGGAGTTTTCTAACAAAAAAAAATCGGTAGCCTAGCGTGTCGTAAAAATTTTCCATAATATATTAGCAAGTGTTTCTATGAATACAAATAAAACAACAAAGATACTCGGTGAATATTGAACTATTTCAATAACAACCATAACCACAAGAACAACAACAACAATATGGTAAAATAATCTATATGGCTGTCTTTTGTCCAATAATTTATATGAATTTTTCAGGGAACTTCTATATCAAAAGCGCTTGGAAGTTATTTCAATTTTAGGTACTTCCGTAGTACGTGCAACAAGATGGCGGACACCGGAACGTAGTATGTGTATCAGGTAAGGGTTGGGTCATTACTTCAAGTACATATACTACGAGAGTCACTTGGATATTACCCGAACTCATAATAGAACTAAAATAGGGAAAATTGGAATAAATGTATGGCCTCGCCCTAACCTGGTACACATACTATGTTCAGGTGTCCGCCATCTTGTTGCACATACTACGGGAGCATATATTTTTATATGTTGAAGTAATGAAATATTACATTAATACTCTCTCCGTTCCTCGTTGCCAAATTTTCAATCAAGAAATTTGTTTCTTCGACTACATTTGTTTCCATATTTTTCTTTCCCATCCCAATTCTGAAATAAAAAAAAAGGTCAGAATATCAATTAACTCAATGCACACCATGTCATGCAGTGAGTAGTAAATTAGGTAGGCAATGCGGAACATGAAAAATTCAAGTCTTTACTCAGCATCGGAAAATTGTACAGAGACTTGTTTAGATTGAATGCGTAACAAAACGCTAACATCTTTGAAATACAAATTTACACATACTTTTATGAAGGTATGAAATAAAGGCGCTCCGTATTATGTGAACTATGATACGGGCAACAGAACGTAGTGTATGTGTACCAAGGTTAGGGTTAGGTCATAATTTTATTTCAGTTTTTCCTATTTTAGTTCTATTACGAGATAGGAGACTAGCCAAGTGACTCCCGTAGTATTTGTACCTGAAACTATGGCCTAACCCTAACCTGACACACATACTACGATCCTGTGTCCGCTATCTTGGTTCACGTACTACTAGAGTACCGAAATAAATTAGGCTGGTGATTACAAGTTATAAAAACCAAGGTATTTCCATAAATATAGTATAGTTCACTTGCACTTGCAAAAAGCCTTTTTCAAAGTGGAAGCGTTAAAAACAATAAATATAAAAAAATAAGTGTTTACAGATATGTTCATAAACTTTATTCAATAATTTTTTAATTTCTTATAAGATTTTTTTTTATAAATTATTACTCTCTTAGTGGTAACGTGGCCAAATTTCCTCAGAGCTTTCCATGTGGATCCATAATCCAGCGTCAAGAACCCGCGTCCTTTGGTTATCAACTCGAATGAAAGATTGTAGGGTCGTCCGGAAAATTTTTCTCCTTGTTTTACAAATGCCTACAACGAAAAAAAAACATATTAGAAGTAGGCATATTAGATGCTAGGTTTATTGGTTATTGTCAGAGCTTCCACACCGTCCTTGTCTTCAGATTTGTTATTTTGAGATTCATGCATTTTGTTATATTTGTATATATTCTTATCACAATTTATCTATAAGATAGTAGACCCAGCTTGCTTTCCAGTGTTATAAAACAAATTACACGAGCGACGATGGATCTTAAAATTAATAGCGATAAATTTAGAAATTTTATTTCTGGACAGGTGGTTGGCAACAATTGTTTTAGAACATAAAAGTTTTTACTCGAGTTATTTTGAATCTTATGTTCATTTATTGAATTGAGCTACATTTGAGATATTCTTTACAGACCTCGTTAATGGTGTCATAATCATTCAGAATGACCCAATCCTCTTGTCCAAATTGAACAGAGACAACTGATCCGTATTTCTCTTTCAATTTCATCAAAGTTTCTGCAGGATTCTTTGCCATGAACGGAATGTAACCAACAAGAGGCAGACCTCGAGGACCAGGTGGAAAGTTTTTTGGTTTCCTTTGTAAATAGCACCAAAATATGAAGGCTGCAATCCCAGCTAAAACGCTTGGATATTCAAATAGTTCAATCCACATCTTGTTTTCTAGTAATCTATATCTCTTTTGATTATAGATTATAAAAATCTGGATAAAATTCAAACGTGGGATATTAATGATATATATCTATTTCTAATAGATACGCATCAGGCATCAGTTAAGATAATATTTAAACTTCTCTCTCTTCTCTCTCTTGACTCAATACTCATCCACTGATGTTTCTGTCAAGCGATCAATTTTTTTATAAATATAAACGGGCCTGGGATCAAACGGGGTCGCAAAGGTTCACACGAATTCTTTGAATGTCGTTCTAATCAGCGAACCTGTTCTTAAGATCATTTTTTATTTCGGCATGAGTTATATGAAATGAGAGAACGTATTGTTAGCAAGTTCTATACCAAAAACAACTTGTTTTAAAGTATTGAATCTCGATACTGTATAAAACCATGTCTCTACTCGATACTAACTCTACTATCAATACTGTTCATATAGTAGTTTCAGGTCTTCAAACATACATAAAAATGATTAAATTTTAAAACCATTCAATTTTAAATTCTAATGCTCAACACACCATTTATAGTACATTGAATTAACCCAACAATGACTTTCACATTTCCTCGCAACAAATACAGACGGGGACACGATATTGTTCAGTTTATGCAAGCTGGTATATTTGCTTATTCTGCTATGGCAAACATGCAAACAACAAGTGCAAACATGGCACATGAATTTATAACTCGAACCACAAAGAATAATCACTCAAGCACAATAAGCACTCAAGAAGTGTGTGTACCAATATGGAGGTAATAAATTATGTTCGCCTACATCAAGTTGTGTAAAGGGACATAAACCTATGGGCAAGTGGTATATTAACTTGACTGACACAGACAGTCCCGAACTCGTAAAAGAACTAAAATGGGAAACATTAGAATGAAATTATGCCTTAAGCTTAACCTGTGACACACACTACGGAAATACCAAATAATCTATTGCTCGGATATCTATAGACTAGTAGAAGATCAGGTGATATCGCTGCTTGCTACATTTTATGGATCAATGCGCAAAATTGAAATGGTCAGATTAGTTTTGAATGTCTTTTGAACTGTAATTCCCCCAAGAATCCAAGTATATGAGACTGTACAACAAAACATGGCAATGGTTGTGATAAATCGGTGAAACCTACAAAACTGGGTATTCCCAAATCCCCGTCTCATTCGTCTTATCCAACTAATAATTATGGCCGATGACGTTCAAATTTCAATAAAAGTTTTCAAATAGTTGCAATATAGAATTTGCTCAGGTTTAGGGTTATTATGCAAATGAGATATATTGTCAAACTGTCGATTAAATGTGTTATTACATCCAATGCATCAGTGGTCGAAAAACAACGTACCATATGCCATTTTTTTGTTGTCCTCGAACGACCTCAGTTTAAATGAACAAAAACAAAAATTGCTTATAAATTCTTAAGAATCTTTACGACTGTATTTATCACGCAAATGGTTAGGTAAAAATTAGCTATTTTTGCACTCTTATTTTATCATTGACTCTCACTCTTATTTTATCATCTCAATGAATCCGTCATAAAAATGTTGAGTATTGAACAATCTTGGACAACTGATCGTCACTAGAAGTCGTTATTTATCGGTGTAACAAAATTTTAAAATCCTAAGATGAATTTTATTACATAACGTTACGCAACATAAAAGGAAAATTATTTACTAATAATTACTTATAAAATCTAGAGTTTTTTTTGTAAATAGAAAATTCAAATTTGTCACGTTAACCTGAATTTTAAATAGGAATTTGGACGGGAAAGCTTCGCACACTCGATGAATGATATGACGATGATACTTATTACTTATTGAAAACGTCATGAGCATCTAACAAAATTAAAAGTACAAACAATAAAATAACATAAACTTGAGATTATCATATTTATTATACAGAGAAAATCATTAAACTCAATTAAAATAATTGATCTCAAATTTATTCCAATATTAAAAAAAAGCAAAAAAAAACTTTTACACCAAACCCAACAGCCCAAATAAAATCCAAAATAGTTTTAGTTTGGATCTTATCAACTACTGAATACAAACAATGAATAAATCAAATGATTAAAAAATTTAAATTCATGCTAATTGTCCAGTTTATGTGTTTTTTGAATTTGATTCAGGTTGTCAAACACTTGTTTAAATCAAGTCTGCCTAACAATTTCTGCAAAATATCGCACAACCTGGAGACTGTTCGTACATTTAAAATCATCAAATATTTCAATATAAGTTGTTTATTCGTGCAATGTTGTGGTTTGAAATAAAAGCCTTAAATAATCCGAAAATATGGATGCTCACGAAATAAATGATGACAAAATACAATGAGTCGACATTTAGTCGCAAATAATTATAGCGAGTATTCTTCTAGGTCCATACAATCGATCGATCGTTAAAAAAAATTAGAGCTCATATGCAAAGCATCCTAGATTACTGGAGTTATTACACAAAAGATAGAGTTAAAAAAAATATTCTTAATGTTTGTGAAGTAATCGGGTAATTCACTAATTATTTTTTGGGTCACCCAATACTTCATAGATATAAACTAAATGAATAAAACAGAAGGTTATTGAGTCGGATATTTTTTGATTGGTTGTTACTAATTCATGAGGGTAACAATCTTACTCTATTTGTATAGGTATTCGATTTCAGTTGGGTATTTTCAAACTTTTTTTTTTTTTCATTTTGATTTCATGCGTTTTGCATTGAAGTTTGCGATTATTTTTGGGTAGCTTCTGGAATTGCTGCAATTACTTTGCAGTTTGCTAAGCTTTGTATACTTTTTACTAAACCAGTGGGAATTAAGGCACCCTCGTAGTGTGTGTACCTGATTAGGGTTAGGCCCTAAGTTTATTCGGATTTTTCTTATTTTAGTTCTATTACGAGTTAGAGATGTGTCTGTGTTATCCAAGTGAATATGCCACCTGCCCATAGGCTACAGTCGCTTTACATAACTTGATGTAAAGTAGGCGAATAAAATTAGTTTCCTCCATATTGGTACACACACTTCTGGAGCGCCGTAATTAGTTTAAAGAAAAATGAACAACATTACAGATTTCAATTTCCAACAACATATTTATATATTTCTGACATCATGCACCATGAAATTATTTAATTAAATATAATTGTGATTTATAAAATATTATTATGTATTAGGTTTAGCAGTAAATCGTTTTGATGCAAAAAGCAAAGTTTGGAAGGTATTGCAACACGAAACATATTCAGAACCTCAATAAGCCCTTGTTGAGGGCCCGGCAAGGACGGATGTCAACAACTAATAACACATGTTAGTTTGACGTCTGCAAAATGTAGGGCTTAAATTCGCGTGAAGGTAAATGTTGAAAAAAGATTTATTTAGTCTACTTGCACCCATGTTTACATGAATGTGTACAGTTTATTTCCAAATGCCAAAATCTGTGACCAATTTTGATTTCTCAATAAACTGTTGGAATGCCATTTCATGATACAACAATCAGTTTTATATACTACCAAAAGGAATTTACTTGTTATTGAATACCGAATTATACGTTTGAATTTGTTTATCATCGGAGCTTTCCTTATTGTTAATTTTATCTAAGTGGCCGGTAAAACACTTGTTCCAGTTATTTCAAAATCACTTTGGAGCCAAACTTTCGATTTAATCCTAGAACTAAAATAAGGAAAATCGGAATAAAATTATGATTTAAGCTTATCTGGTACACACAGTGCGATAGTACCAAATAATATATTGCTACGTTACTTGTGGGCCAGACATTAGCAGCTTAACTTCCAAGATTAGGTAAAATCATTGCTTCCAAAATTTTATGGATCAATGCGCAGGAAATGAAATGGTCACATTTGTGTTGGATGTCTTTTTATTTCCAGCACCTACAAAACCTACAAAACTGTGTTTTCCATAATTCTCATCTCATCCGTACTATCCAACTAATAACCATGTGCGATGTCGTTAAAATTCCAATATCAGTTTTCAAATAGTTTAATAATTTAATATTATTAGATGTATCATTGGATTCCATGAGAATGATGGCCAAAATCCTTCATGAAAATGTTGCTCAAATTTGATACCTAACCGTCACGAGAGGTCGCTATTTATCATTTCGAAAAAAATGCAAAATTGTAATATAAATTTTAAAGTAATGTTGCACAATTTCAAATGACAAATATATTTTTTTGCAAATGAAACATTTAATACTTTTTACATTACTTCCCATTTCAATTTTAATTTTTTTCAAAAGAAAAAGTGCCAGTTTCATTTATAGATTGAACAGGATAGTTACTTGCACTCGATAAACGAATTTGCAGTAAAACTAAAAACCTTAAAATATTCCTCAAAACGTCAATAGCATCTTACAAAGCAATGGCAGTAAATTGATATCAAGATATTTAATGTTTAGAAAAAATCATTAAACTCAATCAAAATAAATGACCTCAAAATTTATTCAAGTATTTAGCTCAAGGTCATATCTAAAATCAAGAATTAGCTTTAGTTTGGCTTTTATTAACTACTAAATACTAACAATAGATTGATTGAAAAACAAAAATTCAAATTCTATGCAAATTGTCAAGATTATATGTGAATACTAACAATGAGTAATGTTGTTCAATTCTTGTTTAAAACAAGTTTGCATCACTATTTTTGCAAAACATCGCAGAACATGACGGCTATTTGAAGGTTCAAAATTAGTAATTATCTTATTTTGAATTGTTCATTCGTGCATTGTCGTGGTTTAACAACAATTCCTATATAAAAAAAGTATTTGAACACTTTGAAAGTATGAATGTTTAAAGAAAAATTGCTAACAAAATACAATGTGTCGACATTTAGTCGCATATCTTATTATAGGAATTATTTTCCTACGTATTATCCAATCGATCGATCGTGAAATTTAAAAACAAAACGGACCTGATTAGGCCATATAAAATATATTCCATAGAAAAAATCCCTTTTTTGCAAACAATTAAAGATTACTGAATTTATACACTAACAAAAGTTTGAGTTATAAGTCAATTTTCTTCATTTTTGTTGTTATAATTAGGAAATTTATGGATTCTGTTTTCTTTGGGTCACTCCATACTTCAACGACATAAATTAGGTGAATAAAGCAAAGGGTTGCTGAGTCGTGAACTTCGACTTTATTTGTTACGAATTCAAGATGGTATCAATAGTATTTACAATACTCGTAAATGTACTCGATTCCATTTCGTTTTGAAACATTTTGATTTCATTTTGATTCTATGTATTTGCAATAATATTGAGAATTTTTTGTCAGCCTCTAGTATTGCTGCAATTCTGTTGCAGCTTACTAAGTTTTGTTTGATTTTGAATGAGCCACATTACAGATTTCAATTTCCAACAACATAGTTATATTTTCTGACTTCATACACCATGATATTAGTTAATTAAATAAAATTGGTATTTATAAATTATTGATATGTATCAAGTTTTGCTGTAAGAAGTTTTGCTGCAAAAAACAAATGTAGGTATTGCAACACAGAACATTACTTTGTTTGGAAAATTGTTCAGAACTTGTTGACGGCCCGGCAAGGGCGGAGGTCAACAGTTAATCACATATGTCAGTTTGACGTCTGCAAAATGTAGTGCATTAATTCGCGTTGACGGTAAATGCTGAAAACATATTTATTTAGTCTACTTGCATCCATGTTTACATAAATATGTACAGTTTATTGCCAAATTCCAAACTTTGACCTGTTTTGATTTCTCAAAAAATTGTTGGAATGCCATTTCATGATACAACTATCAATTTTATATACTACCTAAGTGTGGTGTTAGTATTTCTTTACAGTGTAATTATCAGATAAACAATGTACTCTTGATTGCTCTGGTTCTGTCGTACTGCACACTTTACTGTTTGCGTGTTATTCTATTGTTTACAGCGTTAAGTTGTGGTAGTGGTGTTCTTATGTTTAATAAAGCCTAGAATCGGTATCCTGTTATCTTTCATAACAATTTATTAAACATAACTTAACGAACCAACCACAATGGATAAAGTTTTAAAGCCTGAGAAACTAGACACAGATCCTGATACACGTGACGCGGAATGCGAATGGCTGCATTGGCAAAAGACATTCGAAAATTTCTTGGAAGCTTTACCCACTGAAGGACTGGATAAATTGAGAGTATTAACAAACTATGTGTCTCCGAGAACTTATAGATATATTGGAAATATCACAACTTATAATGAAGCCATAGATACGCTGAAAGGGATTTTTGTACAGCCAAAGAATGAAATATATGCACGTCATATGTTGGCCACGCGATCCCAACAAATTTCTGAGTCGGTTGCTGAATATTTAAGAGCATTGACAGAATTGAGCAAAGATTGTAACTTTCAGAACGTATCTGCTAAAGAATACCAGAATGAATATATTCGGGACTCTTTTATACGTGGCTTGAATTCCAGTTGGATACGCCAACGACTGCTGGAGAATAAGAAATTGACACTGGACGAAATGGTTGATCAAGCCAAATCATTGGAAACTGCCGTTCGAAATTCACAATCTTATGCTATAAACGAAAACGCTTCCGTCGGAGCAACACCTTCAACGATACAATCTAACAATTTCGATGTTGGATCGGTGCCAGATAATGCAGCGATGACTATTAGAAGTAAATGCTTTTTCTGTAGTAATAGTAGACACCCACGATCGAAATGCCCAGCTCGCGAAGTAGTCTGTTTCAAGTGTCAAAAGAAAGGACATTTTGCAAAGGTCTGTCGCGGAAGAACTATTTCGAACAATGACTCCAGCAGTCGCATTGACATTTCAGCAATGATACCACATTCAACATTAGCTACTATTCATGACAAATCTTATACTCATGTTGGATACGTTCCGTCTACATTACGACAAGCCACAGCCTTGGTAGAAGTCGGTCAACGAAAAGTACGAGCTTTGTTCGACAGTGGTAGTACGGAAAATTATATTCACCCAAGGCTGGTAAAATCTCTTAGGCTCAACGTTCGTCCGACAAAGAATGTCATTTCCATGGCATCGTCTAAATGTTCAGTAGAAGTTCTTGGATGTACTGAAATGGATTTATACTATAATAATCATAAATATTGCGGAGTTAAGTTTGGTGTAATCGACAGCTTATGCGCTGATATGATCCTCGGACTCAATTTCCAAACCCTGCATAAAAGTGTAAGATTTCACTACGGTGGTAAAAAACCTGAATTATCAATTTGTGGTTTCTCGTCATTGAAAATAACCCCACCTGAACCATTCAAACATTTAACTGCGGACTGTCATCCAATCGCCACTAAATCGAGAAGATATTCACACGAAGATAGATTATTCATTCGAGACGAAGTAGCAAGACTTCAGCGAGAAGGAATTATCGAAACATGCCTTTCGCCATGGAGAGCTCAAGTCGTTGTGGTTAAAGCAAAAAATCGAAAGAAACGTTTGGCAATTGATTACTCGCAAACTATTAACAAGTTCACTTTATTGGACGCTTTCCCATTGCCAAACATTTCAGAGTTAGTGAATGAAATCGCACAATATCGAGTTTTTAGTACTGTTGATCTCACTAGCGCTTATCATCAAGTTCCACTGAAACACCAAGACAGAGAGTTTACCGCGTTTGAAGCCGAAGGAAATTTATACCAATTCACAAGGCTGCCTTTCGGAATCACAAACGGGGTCTCTTGTTTTCAGAGGATAATGAAGCAGCTCGTGAAAGAAGAACAACTGCGAGGAGTTTTTCCATATTTGGATAACATAACTATTTGTGGAATGACTAAAGAGGATCACGACAAAAACCTGGCTGCTTTCCTGGAATCTGCAAAACAACGAGGATTGATTTTTAATGAATCAAAAAGTATATGGACTACTCGAACATTGCCGATTTTAGGATATCAAATTGCTGAAGGTGAAATTCGTCCAGATCCCGAAAGATTAAAACCTTTACGCCAACTTCCAATACCATCAAATTCTAAAGAATTGAGCAGATGCATGGGATTCTTTTCATACTATTCTAGATGGATTCCAAACTTCTCAAATAGAATCAGATCATTAACAAAATCGACCTCTTTTCCTCTTACTGACACTGCTATTGGAGCTTTTTATGAACTAAAACAGTTAATAGAAAATGCTGTTCTCATTGCCGTTGATGAAAATATTCCATTTGAATTGGAAACTGATGCTTCAGATATTGCTATAGCAGCGACACTAAATCAATCTGGTCGTCCCGTGGCATTTTTTTCACGTACATTACACGGCTCTGAACTTAAACACCCTTCGGTCGAAAAAGAAGCTATGGCCATAGTTGAAGCAGTACGACATTGGCGCCACTTTTTAACAGGAAGACGTTTCATCATGAAAACAGATCAGAAAAGTGTCTCTTACATGTTTGATTTGCGCCACAAAGGTAAAATCAAAAATGAAAAAATAACAAGATGGAGAATTGAGCTATCCGGTTACTCTTTCGATATCGCATACAAACCAGGCAAAGACAATGTTGCACCAGACACTCTATCGAGGATTTCATGCGCTCTTCCTTCTACTAATATCCTCACTAAATTACATGATGCTTTATGCCATCCAGGTATATCTAGATTCGCTCATTTTGTTAAGGTCCGTAATTTACCTTATTCGACTGAAGACGTTAAGCGAACTGTCTTGAATTGCCGTGTATGCAGAGAGATAAAACCTAAATACTATCGGCCTGAAGCAGGAACTCTTGTAAAAGCGACTCAGCCCTTTGAACGTTTAAGTATTGACTTCAAGGGACCTCTTCCGTCGAACAATCGCAACAAATATTTTCTCTGCGTAATTGACGAGTTTTCACGATTTCCCTTTGCTATTCCAACACCTGATGTTTCGGCCGCCAGTGTCATAAAAAGTCTAACTCCATTGTTCGCTGTATTTGGAATGCCTGCTTACATACATACTGATCGTGGTTCGGCTTTCATGAGTTGTGAGTTTAAAAGATTTTTGCAAGAAAAGGGTGTGTCTCACAGTAGAACAACTCCTTACAATCCTTCGGCGAATGGTCAAGTAGAAAGGTGCAATGGTACAATTTGGAAAGGAATAAAACTTGCTTTAATGTCAAAAGGTTTGCCAATTGAATGTTGGCAAGACGTTCTATTAGATGTTTTGCATTCCATCAGATCACTATTGTGTACTGCAACAAATGCAACACCACATGAACGGTTGTTCAATTTTGCAAGAAGATCTACCACAGGATATGCCGTTCCAACGTGGCTGACAAATTCTAAAATTGTTCTTCTCAAGAGACAGATTAGAAGAAACAAATCTGATCCATACGTCGATGAAGTGGAACTTCTAGATGCGAACAGACATTACGCTCATATTCGGTATTCAGATGGTAAAACCTCAACAGTATCAACAAAGCATCTTGCACCGTGTGGTGATAGTACGTCGTTTGGAAGTGAAAATAATGGAAGTTCCTCCGATAATCAACATTCTCAATTACCTGTAAAGCAGGCTGATACAGCAGATTCCGACTATGTACCAAAAATATCGCATCCCGTTATCAACCAATCAGAAATTCAAGAAGGGGAAGAAAAGTCAAATATTCCTGGTGATGATGAAAAACGCGAAACATCCCCAATGAGGAAGATAGACACCCCGGCTCCTAGGCGTTCTACTAGAGAAAAACGTCCAATTGATCGTTTACATTACTATGAGTGAAATGTTTATTAAACTTTTGTTAAATAATCTTTTAGGAGGGGGAAATTGTGGTGTTAGTATTTCTTTACAGTGTAATTATCAGATAAACAATGTACTCTTGATTGCTCTGGTTCTGTCGTACTGCACACTTTACTGTTTGCGTGTTATTCTATTGTTTACAGCGTTAAGTTGTGGTAGTGGTGTTCTTATGTTTAATAAAGCCTAGAATCGGTATCCTGTTATCTTTCATAACACTAAGGGAATTTATTTTTTAATGAATACCGAATCATACATCTGAATTCGTTTATCACCGGAGCTTTCTTTAATGTCAATTTTATCTAAGTGGCAGTGAAACATCAGTTATTTCAAAGTCAAAGTTGAACTTTTGTAAATAAAATATTCATAATTTTCATACAGTGAAATATATACATTTGAAACCACATCAAACAAATCACAAGTTTTGGAGTAATTAAAATTCAAGTTCTGTTTTGCTCAGGGTAATGAAAGAATAAAGCAAGTGGACGAATGTAGGAATTTAAAAAAAAGACTATTTAAAAGAATATAAAAAATTTCTGCTGGTAAAGCTGCTGGTATCTAACTAGTCAGAGATTGGAGCAATATTCATCACTGATTTTAATGAAAAGTTACAGGATTCTAGTAAACTATGATATACGTTTACTAAATTGTTCAAGTTACGCCCCTCTGGACTAAAGCATCCGATTTATAATGTTCTTATGTACAAGATATATATCGCAAGTCATTTAGCGTCTTTAAAAAATAACTTCAAAATCACGCGGTTGGTAAGTGACTAGGCTGAAACCACCGTCATGGAAGGACGGGAGGGGTTTCTTTGGGTCGGGCAAAATCTTCAGCTTTTGAACTATTCCAGTTAGAAAGATGAAAATCTCCATCTTGGCCAGTTGTATTCCTAGGCAACTTCTAGGACCGATTGAAAAGGGGATCACGTGATTTGATTTGACGAATTTTCCGTCACGGTCGAGAAATCTCTCAGGTCGAAATTCTTCCGGGTTTTCGAAGTGTTTGGGGTCAAAATGCACAGCCCATAGATTGGGAGCGACCTGAAAAATTAATAATAAGTTCAATATAAGTCACCAACGATTGACAAGCTTATTTCATGTATAAATAGTTTTTGTTGTAATTGTTTCAAGGTTACAATTATATTTTCTATTTCACCAATTTTATAGTCTATATTCTAAATGTGATTTTTATTTATATTTCTTAGAATTTTATCAAAGCAAGACCTTTAGCAGCCAATAAAATGCGAAATTATAAACATATAATAGTTGTTCATCATTTACATCATCTGCCAAATATTTTACAAAAAATTTTCATTGTACGCAGTTGATTGGTTCCACTGTTCTGTATAATATTTGTTGCCAACTTGAATATCACGAGACTTATTCTAAGATTTAAATTCAGCAACCACATCATTAGCGTGCATAGCATCATTAATTTAGTCTTTTTGAGGTTAACACTTTTGAAGGAATTTTTTTATCCACTACATACCGTCGTGTTTTTAGGAATTGTGTATCCATCAAGAGTCGCTTCTTCGTTGGTCTTGTGATATACACTCAATGGGGCTAACGTTCGATGTCTCATCAATTCATGTATGAAAGCACATGTATAAGGCATTTCATTTTGATGTTTCATACTTGGTACACCGTCTTCACCTGTTGAATGATGGTGAAAATTTGTTTAGTATTAAAATAAGCAAACATTATTTAACAAATGATAATTTTCATAATTATTCCGCCAGTTCATCATTTTATTGTTTTCTATTCTAGATTTCTTCCTCACATTTGTTTTCGATTAAGTAAATAAACTAAATTAAGACCCTCGATAAAAAGATTGCCATAAGATATTTCCTCAATCTTCGATTTCAAGATAAAGTATTTGAATACGAAGCATGAGTACTAGGTACTAAAGCAATTTATTAAAGATCAAAAAGTTTAGAATACCATTCCGTTAACATTGGTAGGGTAGTATCTCAATAAGTATTTGTCCGTTCCTTATAATCGTAGCTATGATAAATTAATGTTCGAATGAATTTCACATTAAATATTAATGGAATCTTTGAATTTAAATGAACACAATCTGTGATTAAATGGAAAATTTGGCTAAAAGTTTTTCTTCCTACCCAGTGTTTACATAACTTCATCTGCTATTCGTTCTTGGCGTTCTGGATAATTTCCAAAGCACAACAGTGCCCATGCTAAGGTTGTGCTTGTTGTTTCTGATCCAGCGTCAAAAAGATCTCGAATGAATTGAATGAGCATTTGTTTCTAAATATAATATTTAAAAAATAGTGATTATTGGTAATATGTTTGGACTATATATTACATGAAAGAATATACAAATAAAATTTTAAACGATCGATCAGATTTTTTTAAGTCAGTCATGACAAGTTTGGTGTTTCGAGAAAGAAGTTTTCTTGCATCATGAACCAATCTAATTGAGATTACATTTACGCAAAAATATTTTTAAGTTTTTTCATGCTCAAATCTTAAATTTCAAACAAATATATATAAATATTTTTCTTCGGTATTTTCATCAATCACCGATCGGCCGTAGATAAAGATTCGAGCAAACAAATGACGAATGTTTTTATTAAAATACTTGAATCAGAGCGAACACAACTCACATTGAAGCTTTTATCATTGGTTTTGCTTCTTTTCATCTCAACTAGAAAGGCATCAATGAAGTCATGAATGTCGTTTTCGTCAAAGTTGGATTCGTGCTTCTCGACTATCTCACGTAAGTAACCTAAAACCACACAATGTGTTAAATTCGGTGCGATGTCCTAAGACTGTGAGCTTTCGACTAAACTAAGTTGGTATTATAGATCGAAAATCTGGGAATCAAATCCCGTTTCCATCACCTCACCCAAGATGTAAGAAATTTTGTGGACAATTTCAAACCGGAAGGTTTTGATTCTTTTAGAATAAACTAGCTCAATACTTAGCAGTGAATGATTGTACCGTATACCTTGAATAAAAGGTCGTATAAAACAACTCAGTTTTGCCATATTAATAGTTAATTTATCTGCTCTATCACAGTTTATTACAATATTTCAGTGTCTGGATATAACAACAATTTATACCAAAAATAAAGAACAAGTCTCGCACATTTTCGTGTATGTCAAAATTATAGGTAGTGTACAATCCTATACATTTGGGACGAGTGACAAGCTCAACCGTGTTTCAGTGAATTCCGTTGATCACAAATTGTCCACTAAATTGTGAAGAACCGAGTGAGTGCTAGATCAACGTTTGAATTCAAGATGCAAATAGAATTATTTCACCCAAATACTAAAATAAATCTTACCTAACATACTGTTTGAATCATCTTTGGTAATCTTTGCAACTCCTTTGAATGGCGGGAAGAATCGTAACAGTGGGGCCAATGACAACGCTGTCAAGAGTTTGGAATGCGTTGTGTTTTCGGCACTGTAGATGTAAAAATTACAGTATTACCGGGGTGTAATAAATTTGATAGGCGATGTTACATATATAAAATAAATCTTACTGCTAAAATAGGGGCCCCGGACTTAACAGTGACTGCTAGTAGAGGGATGTTTTTTGCGTTGTATTTAGTAGTTCCCCGCATATCAATGGATACTATCACATTTTTATCGTTCTTCATTGTTAAAAATTAGTTATATGAACATGTATGTGAAAAATCGCACAAATCATGGTCTCGCACACACTATCGGAGATATTATGCGTCGATCTCTGAAAGTTACGGGCGATCACTTTAGTACCAAAGTTATAAGACTATAAATACTCAGAGCGAAATATATGTATAAACTATATATATATAATAAGAACTATGTACGTCTTAGGAAGTCTGACCTTGGTCAGACGAAACGTTACAGAAATATATTTGTGTTAGTGTGCAGTAAGACTCTTGAATCACTTTTAAGATAATTAATTTGGCATTTTATATTTTTAACTACATTTTTCCACCATTTGAACATATCATCTTCTTTTTTATGTTAATTTTAGATCAGGAATGTCATTTGTATTGGTAAAGTTTACAACTTTAAGAACTTCTGGGGTTCCCGCCAGGTCATATAGATCGGCATGAATTCAAAATTACCTGATCAACACTAAACGTTACATTAGCGCAATGGCCAAGCGTACAATGCGACAGACTTTGCTATGTTGGCAGCACATGTAATATCTCACGCGTTAAATTCTCATCCCGGCTCCCCACCCGGATTGTAATAGATTGGAAATCCTATGACGGAATCATATGATAGCAGCTCATAACTTATCAATGAGTTTCAGTATGCGGGCATTTTGAGGCAAATGACGTGGATGTAAAAAAAATTCGAAATTAACAACAAAAATTATATAAACAAAATTAGTATAAACTTACTATTTCTGAACGATTTCCAGCATGTGATTGAATTTTTTGTCATTATATTCAAACCTCGAACCCAATATGACTCGGCAAATAATATTTGACACAGCTAGAAATAGCTTCGCCTAAAATATAAACAAGAAAATTGAATACAAATTTAAAGGAAGAAAGTGAGTGATGCTCACATATTTGAACACGATGACCCACATCGTTTTAAAAATATTATACTAGATTAAAGGTATTGCTTAATTGATATCTCGTTTTTGTAGTACTTTTTGATAAGTAAGATAATCGTTTTGAAAATTGAATTCAAATGACCAAATAATGACTCCAACTTTTATATTTTATTAAATTAAAAAATAATTTTGTTTGACTATTATCAACATTCATTTATCAAAAAAAATCACATTCACATTTATTTCCTACATTTTATCATATTTATCAAGGATTAAGTATAAAAATAGTATCATACATGCAGTCTTTGTCCGTTTTTACTTGTCAAATTTTCTATTAAAAAAGGTGTTTCTTCGATAACATTTGCCTCCATTCCTTTCTTGCCGACACCAAATCTGAATTTTTTTTTATAGTGAACTGCTTTTGTTCGGAAGACAGATTTTGATTTATTAGAAAGGGTCTTATCCATCTCATTTATTCACTTTTTAGGGAGACCGATGTCTAGCTGCTTTTCGGCGGGATACCGGTGAACATAAATCGGCAAAATTATCGATTTATGCGATCACTGTTTTTAACTTTGTTAAAGCGTTAACTTGACTTTGTCTCAATCGCAGATTAAAATATATCGGTTTCAATTTACCCCCCACAAGTTGGGATCAGTTTGCAAAAATGTGGGTAAGCCATGGTGAACCGAAAAACTGCAGCCCCAATAAAATATTGAACTTCATTTTTCAGGAATGAGTGTGGGATTACATAATCAGAATCAAAAGCGTGATAAAATGTCATGTAAAAATCAGTCGTGAAAATGAAAGACGTGTAATGTCATGTAAAAATCAGTCGAAAATTGTTCTACAATAATAGTTTGTATAAATATTTACCCTTTTAAAGTCATCAATCCAAACTTATGCAACTCTTTCCAAATAGATCCGAAATCTCTAGTGACTAGAGCACGACCTGTTGTTATAAGATCAAAAACATAATTTTCTGGACGTCCAGAAAATTTATCTCCTTGTTTCACGAGTGCCTGTAAAAAGAAAGTGAATTATAATTTACAAACGTCATACTACTCGTTTCGACATATTCAAAATAATCCCATTTACCGACGTTGTTTGCATGTAGTTCGAACTTTCAATTTTTAATCTGCGTTCAAATAAAACAAATACTGTCAATTCTTACCTCGTTAATAGTGTCGAAGTCATTCAATATAACCCAATCATCTCGCCCCATTTGTACAGACATCACAGATCCATATTTTTCCTTCAATTGTCGCAAAGTTTCTCCGGGATTTATTCCAATGAATGGGATATACCCGACAATTGGAAGTCCATAAGGACCAGGTGGGAAACCCTTTGGTCTTTTCATCATATAGAAGCAGAATATAAAGGTCGAAACACCAACAAAACTCGTAGCGTAATCGAAAGAGGCAGTCCAGGACATATTTTCGTTTTCGTTAAGATAACGTCAATCCTTCGATAAAATATATGATATATTCTATAAACAAAGGTAAAACTTAAATATATATAAAGCAAATAGTCGCGTTTCGTAACAGTACGATAAGGCCTGAAAGCCCCGAATAGTTCATAAGATCGGCAGACAATCAATAGGTAGAGGACGACAGTATCACTACGTAGTCAAACTAATTTCATTTCTGCATTGTCGGAGAAATATACAGTTCTAGAGAAATACATACAATCCATGTGAATTAAAAATCTCCAACGTATTGCCTTAAGTATGTCTTAGTTGAATATCATACTAATCAGGTTCAAAGCGCAAGTCATTACACTTTCACACATAAGTATAAATTCGTTATACGTTGTTTCCTCTGAGTCTGCGATATATAAGTTCAATGCAAACGTTTTATATAATTTTACGAATCGCTAAATTAAATAACTTTATTAATTTTTTTTTTTTGTGACGACAAATAAACGATTGACTGACTGAGTATATTGTGTGCGTTATTTGGTCTGCCTCAAATATACACGGTTCAAATTTTCGTAAATATTTGTTCAATACATGTTTTAAAACTTTGCTCGACATTTACGATATAAGTATAGTCTGACGTGAAAATGCTGAAACGCACAATAAACATTTTTCTCAAATTGTTAAAGATTGAAATCGGCAAGCACCTTCCAAAATTTAACGAGAATATCGGTCAGAGACCGAAGACTTATCGATCGAAAGTTAGGGGATCCCACCAAAAAAGCGCTCTTACTCCATAATGACACCTTGTGTACCATCACTAATTAATTAATAACTCGCTAATTATACGACATAATTCATTCAAAATCAAAAGGCTTCTGGTCCGACATATGATGAATGCACATGCAAAATCTGGACAGACAGACAGGCAGACAGACAGACAGACAGACAGACAGACAGACAGACAGACAGACAGACAGACAGACAGACAGACAGACAGACAGACAGACAGAAAGACAGACAGACAGACAGACAGACAGACAGACAGACAGACAGACAGACAGACAGACAGACAGACAGACAGACAGACAGACAGACAGACAGACAGACAGACAGACAGACAGACAGACAAATACCTATCAACATACTTACCAATTAAAATTGGTAAGTAATAAAGTAGCGTTCCTTAGAAATACGGATTATGGTATATCTTTTATGCGTGCTCACGTCATCACGGCTTACGACTCATAGACCATGTTGATTGTACATGAAAACGTGTACTACATAAGTTTATAACATGAATCACGTGATATCGTAATATGATAATAATAAATAAGTTTCAATTGATGCAGATAGAATTTGCGTAATGCGCTATTTACTTTCGTTTCATTCTACTTTATGTACTGCCCCCTTGCGTGAATATAAACGCTCTCGTTGACTTTTAGAATTACGTCATTTCTTACAGTGATTTCTAGAACATTTCCAATATTAATTATCCAATATAATTGCAAAAAATTCTATTCGCAATTTCATATTCCATTCAAACAAATGAGATAAATAGATAAGTCGTATAGCCATTCCAATCCAACAGAATTGACATTCCTCCATAAAACCAAGAGCAAATCGTAAATTAATACTATCGCTTTGGATTCTGCGAGAATAACTACTTATCTTTCTTCTATGCTTTGTTTGAACTATGTATGTCTGAAGAAGTCTAACCTTGATCAGACGAAACGTTACAGAAATATATTGATGTTATAGTGTGCAGCAAGACTCTTGAATCATTTAGGATAAATCGTAAATGTTCTAATATTATAAATGTAAAATTTTGATTGTAATGAGATTTCCATTTTTATTAATACTCATATGAGTCTTTTCATTTCCTCTCCAAACAAGTTCTAGAAAAGCGGTCAGTAATACCTTGGAAACAAATGGAAAATGATACGACATCTTTACAATAAATTGATATTTGCTACAAATTTTTACAATCTGGGTAAAACACGGGCGGTTTGATCAACTACAACAAAGACTTATTTGAATTCAATGCTACAACTGCTAATCCCTTGCCAACAGATAGGAACAATAATTCCGAATTATTTCTTCTTTTCGATATTTGTTAGTTTGCCTGATGGAAAATATTTAATTCTAATTCCTGCCTTACACAAGACGTTAAAGCCTGTATGTAACTCCTGTACGATATGATATCGTATGCAATGTTTTGAGGTCATCCAGAAATCTTCTCACCTTGCCTTACAAGTGCTTGAACAATTATGACAAGCCACAGTAGAATAAATTTATTTTAAGTTAGCAGGGTGCCCCCCGAAAAACTTGAATTTCTGATTTTTTAATTGTGTATATTGCACCAAAAAGTTTAAGAAATCTTGGATGATTTGCACAAAAGTTTAGTTCTATCTCAAATATGTTCCAAATGATCTAAGTTCCATATTTTCGGTCTTCCTTTACCAGGCATATGAAGTATTTAAAATATTCAGATATGGCTCCGGAATTTGACTGTACAACGCACAAATTACGCGGATTTTTACTCATTGTGCTGAAAGTATAAAACATCTTGAGCCGCAGATTGCACTTCATGGTTTCGCAGATCTGAATCCCTAAGAAGATTATAAGTTGAAGGAAAACTGTTAGACAATCGAGGCCTGATTGTATAAAATTATTCATAAAATTATTATATATGATTTAAATCTTATCATATTTCCTTGATACTTTTTATATAGGCAATTTGGTACTCCCGTAGTGTGTGCACCTGCTTAGGAATGGGCCATAATTTTATACCGATTTTCCTTATTTTAGTTATATTACGAGTTCAGAGACTGTCTGTGATAGCCAAGTGGATATACCTCTGCCACAGGTTCCAGTCCGTCTATACAACTTGAAGTATAGTACGCAAACAAAATTATCACTTCTAGGGCGGCGGCAATTTTTTTCTTTATACTCCTTAAGAGTATTTATCTATTTAATTCTGCAAATATGCATAAAATTAATACCGAAATATACATCTAAGTTTGTTTATTATCGGAGCTTTGTCAGTTTCTGCAACTTTCGTAAATAAAATCTTTGTAATTTTCATACAGTTATTCCCATACATTTGAACCCACATCAAACAAATTTCAAGTTTCGGAGTAATAAACGAATCATCTCTATTTTTTCTCACTGTAATGGCAGAAGCACGTTATATAGTTTCATGATAAAGATATTTCAAAAAAAGACTATTCAAAAATATTACAAAAAAATATGTATCCTTTTATCTAGTATCTAGTCAGGGATTCGATCAATCTTTATCAGAGTATTTTAATATAAAGTTACACGGTTACACGAGTCTGAAGGTCTGTAATATACGTTTAGTAAATTTTCCAAGTTTCGCACTCTTGGGTTAGTTAAAGCACCCGTTTTATAATGTTCTTATGTACAAGATATAACAAAATTTGTTCAGCGTTTTTCAAAAATGACTTCAAAATTCTGAGGTTGGTAACTGATTAAGCTGAATCCACCGTCATGAAAGGACGGGAGGGGTTTCTTCGGGTTGGGCAAAACCTTTAGCTTTTGTACTATCCCAGTTAGAAAGATAAAAATCTCCATCTTGGCCAGTTGTTTTCCGATGCAACTTCTAGGACCTATTGAAAAAGGGATCACGTAATTTGATTTTATGAATTTTCCCTCACGATCGAGAAATCTCTCAGGTCGAAATTCTTCCGGGTTTGCAAAGTGTTTAGGGTCAAAATGAACTGCCCATAAATTTGGAGCGACCTGAAAAAGTAATGATTCTAGTATAAGTCACTTTCATTGACAAGCTTGTTTTGTATAGAAATAGTTCTTGTTGAAAATATTATATTTGCTGTTTCGACATTTTTATAGCTCATATCTAAAATGTGCTTCTGAGCATATTTATATATATATTGTACTATTTACTCAAAGCTTGGCATCTGGCGGCCAGTACAATGTGAAATGATACCAATATAAGGGTTGTGAAGCATTTAAATCATCAATGAAATATTTTCCAAAAAAACATTTCATTGTAAAAAAGCTTTATACGAATTTAATGAACATAAAGAAATATAAAGGTAGGCCAGCTTATGGCTCCACATTTCTTTAATATTTGGAATATAAAGGTAGGCCAGCTTATGACTCCACATTTCTTTAATATTTGTTGCCAACGTAAATATCATGAAACTTATTTCAGGATTTAAATTTAGCAACCACATCATTAACATGCATAAAATCATATTATTAGTTTCTTCTTGAAATGTACAGTTTTATACACAACATTTTTTCATTTACATACCGTCGTGTTTTTAGGAATTATGTATTCATCGAGAGTCGCTTCTTCGTTGGTCTTGTGATATACACTCAACGGGACCAACGTTCGATGTCTCATAAGTTCATGTATAAAAGCACATGTATACGGCATGTCATTTTGATGTTTCATACTTGGTAAACCGTCTTCACCTGTTAAATAATCGTGAAAATTTGTTGTTAAGTTTCAAAATAAGCTAACTTTATTTAACAAATATTAATTTTCCCAATTAATTCTCCAGTTTACCATTATATTGTTTAATATTCTAAATTTATTTTTCGAGTTTGATTTAGGTAAACTGAATAAACTAAAATAGTACATCCCATCGTAAAAGTGATCAGAAGCCTCTCAAAGCAGTTTAAAGATATGGGATATGAATGCGAAGCATGAATACTGAGCATTAAAGCTATTTATTTTTAGGATCAGAAGTTTAATAAATTGCTTATGTTATAACTGGGGATGTAGGTTTCGAATATTTTATTTTCGAATCAAATTTCAAATCACAATGTTCCGATTCGAATATTTCCGAATCTGATTCTATTTAGTATATTATCATATTATCGTTACCTTTCCTCAAATTTAGAAGAAATATAGCATACATTTTGATAAAATAACAATAATGAGCTTAAAGAATGAAGAAAGTTCCTAGAAAAACACATTGCATGGATGTATAAACTACCAAATATATTACGGATGAGATTTATGTTTTGTTACATAAAGGTATACTCATTTACATATTTACTTACATACAATTACGTTTGCAATAATGCCGGATGTATAGCAGCGATTGTTTATTATTATTATTAAAATTGACCTCCAAAATTAATCCAAATAATAAACGCCAGTTAGTACCGCGTGCGCCATGATTTTAAAAGAAGCAATGTTAACGAGAGAAGCATCGCAGACATGTTTTTAATAAGGTATAAAACAATGATATTTTATTATAATATTATTATGCAGATAATTTGAAGAAACGTTTATATAATAAAATATTTGTGAAACTTTGTAGTTGAACAAAATTAAGCGAAACCTCTCTACAGGGGTGGTGACTCCTCTGTGACCCATGGGCCGGAGCCACAGCCCATCCAATTATGCCACGTAGGTCGTGGCCACTCAATCTATGGGCCGCGGCCTAATCAGGAAAAATACAATTATATTACCCAAATTTTCAATTTTTTCAAAATTGTCAATATTCGAACCAAAAAAATCACGGGATTTCACCAAATTTTTTTTTTAAGATAAGCCTCTATATAGAAATAAAGCAAAATACCAGTAAAGGATTCTCCTGTAGTATGTGTACCAGGTTAGGGTTAGGACAAAATTCCGTTCATATTTTTCACATTATAGTTCTATTATGAGTTCGGGGACTGTCTGTGTTAGCCAAGTGAATAGTCCCTTTATACAACTTGATGGTCCGAGGCCCAATTTGACGGGCCGTGGCTGCGGCCCATGGGCCGTAGAGGAGTCACCACTTCCACTCAAACCATTAGTCCCTCAAAAGCTGCTACGAATATCTGAATATGAAATATAACGGCTCTGGGAGTGTCATGGCTTTGGGAAGCTCTAAAGCTAAACAGTGTAAAGGTAAGGAAAAAAACGCTTTTGGTCGAAATCATGGCAGCGCCGCTGTGTCGTGCAATTTCTTTGTGTTATCTATAAAATTCCTTTTTAAATAGAATTTAAATTTTAAAAAGCCCCTTTTTCTTAAATTGCTTTGAATCTCTTCGAATTGATGTTGATTCGAATCGCTTCGATTCGAAATTCTGAATCTTACATCCCTAGTTATAATATTATATGGTAACGGGATTTTGTTTGTTATTTTCGACTGTTGCTATAATTAACTAATGCGACATTTGAATGAACACAAAATCAAGCTTTCCGTACGATTAAATTAAAACCTTGAAAAAATGAATTTGTTCTATTACCTAATGTTTTCTTAACTTCATCCGCTATTTGTTCTTGACATTCTGGATAATTTCCAAAGCACACCAATACCCAACCTAAGGTTGTGCTCGTCGTTTCTGATCCAGCGTCGAATAGATCTCGAATGTATTGAATGAGCATTTGTTTCTGAATACAGTATTTGAAATATAGTGCTTATAGAAAATATTATTAAACCATATATATTATGTACGAATATACCACCAAATATAAATATTCATATAAAGGTTTTAACCATCGAATAAAGTTTTTTTTAGGTCAGATTCGTGACAAAATTGGTAGCCGCGTCCAAAATTATCTTGCATAAAATACCAATGTAATCGAGATTACATCAACTCAATAAATTTTTATACATTTTGCATGCTCAAAGTTTCAGTTTGAAATTAATATAAATGATTGTTTTGTTCTTGGTATTATCTAAGTACTTATAAATAAATAGAAAATCTCCAAAACGAATGTTAAATTTTTTAATTAGAATATTTAAATAAAACGAACGCAACTCACGTTAAAGGTTTTATCGTTCTTTTTGCTTTTTTCAATCTCAACTAGAAATGCATCGATGAAGTCATGGATGTCGTTTTCTTCAAAGTTGGATTAATGCTTCTCGACTATCTCACGTATATATCCTAAAACCGTACAATGCGTTATATCAGGTGCAATATTCTACGATTGTGAGTTTTTGACTTAACTAGTTGCTATGGTTTATGGAAAGTCGTGAAATCAAATTCCATGCCAACCACCTCATCCAGGGTGTTATAAATTTGGTAGACAATGTCAAACTGGAAAGTTTCGGTCCTTTTAATATAAAGTAGCTCAATTCCTAGCAGTTGATGATTGCACAGTATACCTTGATGATCGTATAAAATAACTTAGTTTTACCAGATCAATACGAAATGCATCTACTCTTTCACAGTTTAATAAAATATTTCAGTGTATAGATATATCAACATTTCATACCAAAAAAGAGGTACTGGACAATTTTGTGTATTGCAAAATTATAGGTTATATATTATCTAATATATATGGAACGAGTGATACGCCCAACCGTGTTTCTCGAATTCAATTGATGACTAATTGAACTACCAATTTGTGACGAAACGAGTAAGAGCTCAGCTTAGGACTTCCCCGGTGCAAGTAGAATTATTTCACCCAAATACCAAAATAAATCTCACCTAACATACTGTCTGAATCATCTTTGGTAATCTTTGCAACTCCTTTGAATGGCGGGAAGAATCGTAACATTGGGGCAAATGACAACGCTGTCAAGAGTTTGGAATGCGTTGTGTGTTTCGGAACTGTCAGGTGAAAATAACAGTATTACCGGGGTCTAATGAATTTGGTAGGTGATGTTAAAATTGAAACAATTTGTACTGCAAAAATAGTGACCCTGTCTTAGCAGTGACTGCTAGTAGATTGTCGTTTTTTGCGTTGTATCTAGTAGTTCTCCGCGTATCAATGGATACTCTTTACTATTTTACTATGAACATTTTATGGTTCTTCGTTGTTAATATTAGGTTTAAAGTACATGAACGACATGTACATGAACATTCGCACAAATCATGGTCACGCGCACCCAAACGAAGATGATATCGATCTCTAAACGTTACGGGCAATCATTTCAGGACCAAAGCTAATGAGACTATAAATACTATTAGAAAAATATATGTATAATTTATATATATATAAAAAAAATGTTCAATTTGGCGTTTTCTACACCATTTACTATTTTAGTACATTTTGGCGACATCAGGACATATCATCTTTTGATCATCGATTAAGTTAACAATTTTTAAGAACTTCTGGGGTTCCCGACAGGACTTACAACTTGGCATGAATCAGAAATTAGCTGAACAACTTCTTATTAGTGTCATGGCGTAATGGTCAATGCGTTATTCAATATGTTGTCACCACAGGTAATACCTCACGCCTTCAACTCTCATGCCCGCCACGTAATCCAACTGGCAATAGACTGGGTATAGGAAATGGCGGAATCCTGAAATAGTAGCTCATTAACAATGAGTTTCAATATACGGCATTTTGAGGCCAATGAAGTGAGTGTCAAAAAATTCAAAAAATTTACAAATAAAATTATATAAACAAAATTAGTATTCTCACTATTTCTGAACGATTTTCATCATGTGATTGAATGTTTTGTCATCATATTCAAACCTCGAACCCAATATGACTCGACAAATAATATTTGACACGGCTAGAAAAAGCTTCGCCTAAAATTTAATAAATAAGATTATTGAAAACAAATATAAAGAAAGAAAGAAGATGATGATGTGATGCTCACATATATGGACACGGAGATTCAAATCATGTAGATAAATTAGATTGGATTAAAATAAAAGTGTTGTTAAAATATTTTTAATTTAATCTAATCTAATCTTTTACATACGGATCTGTAGTAGAAAGTAATCAAGTAGAATGGACCTGCAGTTCAATACGTAATATCCAAGTTCCCCTAGTATTGTTAAAATAATACGTTATTTTTGCAGTATATTTGGATAAGTAAGATATTCGTTCTAAATAGTGGGTCTGATTTTTATATTTCATTTAATTAAAGGAATTTTGTTTGACTTTTATCAACATTTATTTATTAAAAAATCACGTTTACATGTATTTCCTATATTTTATCATATTTAACAAGGACTAAGTATTACAATAGTATCATACATGCAAACTTTGTCCGTTTTTACTTGTCAAATTTTCAATCAGAAAAGGTGTTTCTTTGATAACATTTGCCTCCATTCCTTTCTTGCCGACACCGAATCTGAAACAAAAATTTTTATAGTAAATTGCCTCCGTTCGAAAGACAAATCTAGATTTTTTAGAAAGATTCTTATGCATCTCATTTATTTACTTTCTGCGGAGACCGATGTCTAGCTGCTTTTTAGCGGGATATCGGTGAACATTAATCGGCAAAGTTATCGAATTATGCAATTGACAGTTTTGTCTTTTTTAAATCGTTAAACGTAATATTGTCGCCATCGCCGATTAAAATATCTCCGTTTCAATTAATTACCCATAATTTGAAAAAATCTAGGTGAGCCATGCCGAACCGAAAAACTGCGGCCTCAATAAAATATTGAAATTCACCTCTTAAGGAATGAGTGTAGGATTGAATAATTGTTCAAAATGGAAGACATGTAATGTCATGTAAAAATCAGTCGTAAAATTGTCATACAATATCAAATAGTTTGTATAAAGGTTTACCCTCTTAAAGTCATCAATCCAAACTTATGCAAATCAAACTTATTTCTGGGCGTCCAGAAAATTTATCGCCTTGTTTTACCAGTGCCTGTAAAAAGAAAGTGTGATGTGTCAGCAATAGCGTTTTGGCCATATAATCGAGAAAAAATGAAGCCCAGCGTTTCCGGTTTGTATTGAAATAGTCGTAAGGAGCACGTGATGTTGGGCTGGGTTAAATTTGAATGCATATTGGTTCGCATTCCCTCGGAGTTTTTTCGCTAGTTTTTTCTACATATTGGACGGGAAAGTTTTGCGCCCTTGATAAATGAATTGACGATGATATTTATTACTTATTCAAAACGTCATGAGCATCTAACAAAATTAAAATTACTTGCAAAGTAATAACATTAAATTGAGATTATTATATTTACTATACAGAAAAAATCATTCAACTCAATTAACATAATTGACCTCATTATTTATTCCAATATTAAAATGAAGCAAAAAAAAAACTTTTACACCAAACCCAACAGCACAAATAAAATCCAAAGTAGTTTTAGTTTAGATCTTATCAACTACTAAATACAAACAATGAATGAATCAAAAAAAAAATCTAAATTCAAGCTAATTGTCCAGTTTATGTGGTTGTTCAACTCTTGTTTAAATCAAGTCTGCCTAACTATTTCTGTAAAATATCGCACAACATGGAGATTGTTTGTACCTTTAAAATCATCAATTATTTTAATATAAGTTGTTTATTCGTGCAATGTCGTGGTTTGAAATAAAAGCCTTAAATCTGAAAATATGAATGCTCCCGGAATAAATGATGACAAAATACAATGAGTCGACACTTAGTCGCAAATAATTATCGCGAGTATTCTTCTAGGTTCATACAACCGATCGATCGTGAAAAAAAAAATTAGAGCTCATATGCAAAGCATACTAGATTACTGAAGTTATTAAACAAAAGCTAGAGTTATAAAAAATATTCTTAATGTTTGTGAGGTAATCGGGTAATTCACTAATTATTTTTTGGGTCACCCAATACTTCAACGATATAAACTAAATGAATAAAACAAAAGGTTATTGAGTCGGATATTTTTTCATTGGTTGTTACTAATTCATGAGGGTTGCAATCTTATTTACTCAATTTGTATGAGTATTCGATTTCAGTTGGGCATTTTCAATTATTTTTTTTTTCATTTTTAATCCATGCGTTTTGCGCATTGAGGATTTGCGGTAGTTTTTTGGTATTTCCCGGAATTGCTGCAATTACTTTGCAGTTTACTAAGCTTTGTTTACCAATCAATCAATCATTTATTCGTCGTCACAAAAACATCAAATGCACACAAAATTGGTACAATAAATAAATATAATAATAATGATATTTGTGCGACAGGAGTCGCGAGGGACCATATTAGGTCTTCAAGCAGCGACACCTGTCTTTACTTTTGACTGAACCAGGTATTTCCCTTATTTCAGTTTCATTACGAGTTAGAGGACTGTCTGTGCTATCCAAGTGAATATACCCCCTGCCCATAGGCTACAGTCGCTTTACACAACTTGATGTAATGTAGGCGAACAAAAATAGTTTTCTCCATATTGGCACACACACTTCTGGAGCGCCGTAATTAGTTTAAAGAAAAATGGACAACATTACAGATTTCCATACTCAACAACATATTTATATATTTCTGACTTCATGCACCATGAAATTATTTAATCAAATATAATTGTGATTTATAAAATATTAATATGTATTAGGTTGAGCAGTAAATCGTTTTGCTGCAAAAAGCAAAGTTTGGAAGGTATTGCAACACGACACATATTCAGAACCTCAATAATCCCTTGTTGAGGGCCCGGCAAGGGCGGATGTCAACAACTAATACCACATGTTAGTTTGACGTCTTCAAAATGTAGTGCGTAAATTCGTGTGTCGGTAAATGTTGAAAAGAGATTTATTTAGTCTACTTGCACCCATGTTTACATGAATGTGTACAGTTTATTGCCAAATGCCTAAATTTGACTTATTTTGATTTCTCAATAAACTGTTGGAATGCCATTTCATGATACAACAATCAATTTTATATACTACCAAAGGGATACCTAACGAATTTACTTGTTATTGAATACCGAATTATACGTTTGAATTTGTTTATCATCGGAGCTTTCCATAATGTTAATGTTATCTAAGTGGCAGTTAAAACACTTATTCCAGTTATTTCAAAGTGACTTTGGAGCCAAACTTTCGTAAATAAAATATTTGTACTTTTCAAAAGGTGAAATATATATATTTGAAACCACATCAAACAAATTACAAGTTTTGGAGTAAATAAAATTTAAGCTCCAGTTTTGCTCAGTGTAATGAAAAAACAAAGCACGAGGACGAATGTAGGAATTAGAAAAAAAATATTATTTTAAAATTATATGAAAAAATATGTGCTGTTAAAGCTGGTATCTATCTAGTCAGAGATTGCAGCAATATTAATCATTGATTTTAATAAAAAGTTACAGGTGTCTAAGAATCTATGATATACATTTACTAAATTGTTCAAGTCACGCCCCTCTGGATTAAAGCATCCCATTTATAATGTTCTTATGTACAAGATATATATCGCAAGTCATTTAGCGTCTTTCAAAAATAACTTCAAAGTCACGCGGTTGGTAAGTAACTAGGCTGAATCCACCGTCATGGAAGGACGGGAGGGGTTTCTTTAGGTCGGGCAAAACCTTCAGCTTTTTAACTATTGATAGTCTATTGAGACTATGTCTTAGTTGAGCCTGTCCGTCGATATTTAAAAAAAAAAATATTGTTGCAAAAAATAATCGTATGGGTACCGATAACTCCTAATAACCCTTGAATACGTCAAACACCTAAGCAAACAGATCTAAATCAAAAAGACCAAAACGATACTGAACGGGTACAATCATTATACATAGCGAAATTGCAGAGTTTCGATTGGGTCTTCGCCATGAACGAAATGTAACCGACGAAAGGCAGACCTCAAGAACCAGGAGAAAAATTTTGGGGTTTTACTTTCAAATAGTACTAAAATATAAAAGCTGCGATCCCAGCTAAAACGTTTGGATACTCAAATATTTCGATCCACATTTTGTTTTTCAACTTTTCAGTAATCTATTTCTTTTTGGTATATAAATTTTCAATATCTGCAGAAAACTCAAATATGAGATATTTATGAGATGTTTTTCTTATATTGAAATAATATTAAAACTTCTCTTAGTAAATATTGACTGATTACCCATCTACTGATGTCTTTGTCGATTCGTTGAATTTATATTTAAATATAACCTATTCTGGGATTCAAGCTCCAAGCAAACCCGTTCCTCCAATATCGTCTTCATCAGCTCATCCTAATGTTTATCAAATGAGAGAACTTATTGTTAGCGAGTTATATGCCTAGAACAGTGTTTCCCAACCCGAGTCCGCGGTCTCAAATGAGTCCGCGGAGTGTTTGAATGAGTCCGCAACGAGCCAGAAATTCGTGCGAGCCGCAAACGTTTTGCGGAATTTAACTATCAGCCAATTTACTTTGGAATTTACATAAAAATTGAAAAACAAGTTTATTCGCATAACATTAATCGAGTACATAATTACTGGCTACTGAGTAGGGCTGGGCATATATTCGAATATTCAACTATTAGAATAGCAATTTGATATTCGAAAATTTGGTAAAAGGTGACGCGACAGGTCACTTGCACTTGTGCGCGTCGCTTAATCAAACGATTGGATTTCACAACTCACTCACGAATTTTCGACGAAAATACACAAGTCGGCACACGCGTCGATAGATGATGGCAACCCGAATTTTCCAAATTGAAAGCGGCAATACAAAACACTAAAAATAAAACGGAGAACACCATAAATTTCGTTTTTAATGATGGTCCGCGACCGATTAAAAACGCTTTTTTAGACATTGCAAAATGCAAAATTTCGGGTGCTACCGTAGTATACGTATACCAGGGCATCCTCCCGCAGGATTGTTTGCTTTACTGCCTCAACATTGATACGCCGTACAGTACTGGTAAGTGTTGTACGAACAGCTCAGATTTGTGGAATTCACAAAAATAGAGATAAAAACAAAATATAATCGGCCCTTTACCACGCATTTTTGTGTCCACTGATTGTCATGATATTTTCTGAGTAGTATTGCTTTTATTTCGCTTATTATTACAATCGCAGATTAAAATGATCACAATTAAATTAATAAAAAGCAAGGCGATGAATATTCATTTTTCATTTACTAATATATTTTGAATATATTTTTATTAAGTACTGAATCAAGTTGTACTTTCTGGAAATTTATACCAGATAGTGAGATTTTTCTAACAACGATACAAATATGCAAAATCGCAAAAATATGTAACAAAACTAGATATAATCGGGCAATATAGTCTCACATTATTATGTTCACAGATTGCCGATTGGCATTTTAAAGAAGAAATGCTTTCACCTTGTCGTAAGTCGGCGCAACCGCGAGTTATCATGAACATAACTAAATTAATATAGAAAGACATTGGTTTGAATATTGTGCAAAAGAAAGCCAATTATACACTAAAAAAGTCGCCTTATTTTAACGAACGCCTAATTGCAGCGAATTTCCGATTTTAAAATTCGTTACAATTCTGTTGTATTTGATTTTATTGCTTCTTCGCACAGGCGCAATAAACGCACTTTGAGTCCGCAAAGATTTTTGCGGGTGGGAAAATAGTCCGCGACCAAAAAAGGTTGGGAAACGCTGGCCTAGAAGAACCTGTTCCAATAATTTTGAGTCTCGATACTGTAGAAAAGCGCGTCACTATTGCTATAATATTCATACTATCAATTCTTTTCAAAAAACAGTTTTAGGTCTTCGAAGAAACATAAAAATATTTACCTCTTAAAAAAATTCGATTTTAAATCCTAATACCCTACAGTCTACACACTATTTATAGTACAATAAATAGGATATATCTTATAAATTCCTCTAAATATCATTTCGTTATGACTGTACCAGTCATTCCTTTAAAAGTCCTGAAGGCAACAAATGCAGACGGTGTCAGGATATTGTTCAGCTTATGCAAGATGGTATATTTTTTTTTTTTGTAAACAACAAGTGCAAACATAGCACATAAATTTATAACTCCAGCCACAGAGAATAATCGGCGACCTAGAAATGTGTGTTCTGATATAGAGGTAGCTAATTTTGTTCGCCTACATCAAGTTGTGTAAAGGGACTGAAACCTTTGGGCTATAGCAAGTGGTATATTCACTCAGCTGACACAAACAGTCCCCAAACTCGTAATAGAACTAAAAAAAAGGAAAATCGAAATAAAATTATGATTACACCCTAACTGGTACACACAGTACGATAGTACCAAATAATATATTGCTACGCTACGTGTAGACCAGACATTAGCAGCTTAACTTCCAAGATTAGGTGAAATCGTTGCTTCCAAAGTTTTATGGATCAATGCGCAGGAATGAAATGGTCACATTTGTGTTGGATGTCTTTTTATTTCCAGCACAATTGTAATACCCTGGTTTGTGATAAATCGGTGGAACCTACAAAACTGTGTTTTCCCTAATTCCCATCTCATCCGTACTATCCAACTCATAACCATGGGCGATGTTGTTAAAATTCCAATATCAGTTTTCAAATAGTTCAATAATTCATGAGTCCATGAGAATGATGGCCAAAATCCTTCATGAAAATGTTGCTCAAATTTGATACCTAATCGTCACGAGAGGTCGCTATTTATCATTTCGACAAAAATGCAAAATTGTAATATAAATTTTAAAGTAATGTTGCACAATTTCAAATGCAAAATATATTTTTTTACAAATGGAAAATTTAATAATTTTTACATTACTTCCCATTTAAATTTTAATTTTTGTCAACAGAAAAAGCGCTTTCTTCTATAGATTGAACAAGATAATTTCTTGCCCTCGATAAACGAATTTGCAGTAAAACTAAAAAGCTTAATTAAAATATTCCTCAAAACGTCATCAGCATCTAACAAAGCAATAACAGTAAATTGATATCAATATATTTAATATTTAGAAAAAAGCATTAAACTCAATCAAAATAAATGACCACAAAATTTATTTCAGTATTTAGCTCAAGGTCACATCTAAAATCAAGAATCAGCTTTAGTTTGGCTTTTATTAACTACTAAATACTATCAATAGATTGATTGAAAAACAAAAATTCAAATTCTATGCAAATTGTCAAGATTATATGTTCATCTAACTATGAGTAATGTTGTTCAATTCTTGTTTAAATCAAGTTTGCCTCGCTATTTTTGCAAATCATCGCAGAACATGACGGTCATTTGAAGGTTCAAAATTAGTAATTATCTTAATTTGAATTGTTCATTCGTGCATTGTCGTGGTTTGAAAAACAATTCTTATTTAAAAAAAGTATTTGAACACTTTGAAAATATGAATGTTTAAAGAAAAATTGCTAACAAAATACAATGTGTCGACATTTAGTCGCATATCTTCTTACAGGAATTATTTTCCTACGTATTATCCAATCGATCGATCGTGAAATTAAAAAAAAACGGACCTGATTAGGCCATATAAAATATATTCCATAGAAGAAAACCACTTTTTTGCAAACCATCCTAGATTACTGAATTTATACACTAACAAAAGTTTGCGTTATAAATGAATTTTTTTTATTTTCGTTGTTATAATTAGGAAATTTATGGATTCTGTTTTCTTTGGGATCACTCCATACTTCAACGACATAAATTAGGTAAATAAAGCAAAGAGTTGCTGAGTCGTGAACTTTGACATTATTTGTTACGAATTCATGATGGTATCAATAGTATTTACAATACCCGTAAATCTACTCGATTCCATTTCGTTTTGAAACATTTTGATTTCATTTTGATTCTATGTATTAGCAATAATATTGAGAAATTGCGATACTTTTTTTTGGCAGCTTCATAGCATTGCTGAAATTCTGTTGCAGCTTATTAAGATTTTTATGTTTTTGAATGAGCCACATTACAGTTTTCAATTTCCAACAACATAGTTATATTTACTGACTTCATACACCATGATAATAGTTAAATAAAATTGGTATTTATAAATGATTGATATGTATCAAGTTTTGCTGTAAGAAGTTTTTCTGCAAAAAAAAACAAAAATTTGAAGGTATTGCAACACAGGACATTACTTTGTTTGGAAAATTGTTCAGAACTTGTTGACAGCCCGGCAAGGGCGGAGGTCAACAGTAAATCACATATGTTAGTTTGACGTCTGCAAAATGTAGTGCATTCATTCGCGTTGACGGTAAATGCTGAAAACATATTTATTTAGTCTACTTGCACCCATGTTTACATAAATATGCACAGTTTATTGCCAAATTCCAAAATTTGACCTGTTTTGATTTCTCAATAAATTGTTGGAATGCTATTTCATGATACAACAATCAATTTTATATAATACCTGAGGGAATTTATTTTTTAATGAATACCGAATCATACATCTGAATTCGTTTATCACCGGAGCTTCCTTAATGTCAATTTTATCTAAGTGGCAGATAAACACGAGTTATTTCAAAGTCAAAGTTGAACTTTTGTAAATAAAATATTTGTAATTTTCATATAGTGAAATATATACATTTGAAACCAAATCAAACAAATTACAAGTTTTGGAGTAATTAAAATTCAAGTTCTGTTTTGCTCAGTGTAATGAAAGAAAAAAGCAAGTGGACGAATGTAGGAATTTTGAAAAAAAGGCAATTTTAAAATAATATAAAAAATAGCTGCTGTTAAAGCTGCTGGTATCTATCTAGTCAGAGATTGGAGCAATATTCATCACTGATTTTATTGAAAAGTTACAGGAGTCTAAGAATCTATGATATACGTTTACTAAATTGTTCAAGTGGCGCCCCTCTGGATTAAAGCATCCGATTTATAACGTTCTTATGTACAAGATATATTTCCCAAGTCATTTAGCGTCTTTCAAAAATAACTTCAAAATCACGCGGTTGGTAAGTGACTAGGCTGAAACAACCGTCATGGAAGGACGGGAGGGGTTTCTTTGGGTCGGGCAAAACCTTCAGCTTTTGAACTATTCCAGTTAGAAAGATGAAAATCTCCATCTTGGCCAGTTGTATTCCTAGGCAACTTCTAGGACCGATTGAAAAGGGGATCACGTGATTTGATTTGACGAATTTTCCGTCACGGTCGAGAAATCTCTCAGGTCGAAATTCTTCCGGGTTTTCGAAGTGTTTGGGGTCAAAATGCACAGCCCATAGATTGGGAGCGACCTGAAAAATTAATAATAAGTTCAATATAAATCACCAACGATTGACAAGCTTATTTCATGTATAAATAGATTTTGTTGTAATTGTTTCAACGTTACAATTATATTTTCTATTTCACCAATTTTATAGTCTATATTCTAAATGTGATTTTTATTTATATTTCGTAGAATTTTATCAAAGCAAGACCTTTAGCAGCCAATAAAATGCGAAATTATACACATATAATAGTTTTTCATCATTTACATCATCTGCCAAATATTTTACAAAAAAATTTCATTGTACGCAGTTGATTGGTTCCACTGTTCTGTATAATATTTTTGGCCAACTTGAATATCACGAGACTTATTCTAATATTTAAATTCAGCAACCACATCATTAGCGTGCATAGCGTACACATCATTAATTTAGTCTTAACAATTTTGAAGGAAATTTTTTTCCACTACATACCGTCGTGTTTTTAGGAATTGTGTATCCATCAAGAGTCGCTTCTTCGTTGGTCTTGTGATATATACTCAATGGGGCTAACGTTCGATGTCTCATCAATTCATGTATGAAAGCACATGTATAAGGCATTTCACTTTGATGTTTCATACTTGGTACACCGTCTTCACCTGTTGAATGAGGGTGAAAATTTGTTTAGTAATAAAATAAGCAAACACTATTTAACAAATAATGATTTTCATAATTATTCCGCCAGTTCATCATTTTATTGTTTTCTATTCTAGATTTCTTCCTCACATTTGTTTTCGATGCAGTAAATAAACTAAATTAAGACCCTCGATTAAAAAAATTGCCATAAGGTATTGCCTCAATCTTCGACTTCAAGATAAAGTATATGAATACGAAGCATGAATACTAGGTACTAAGGCAATTTATTAAAGATCAAAAGTTTAGAATACCATTCCGTTAACATTGGTATGGTAATATCTAAATAAGTATTTGTCTGTTTCTCATAATCGTAGCTATGATAAATTAATTTTTAAATAAATTTCACATTAAATTTCAATGGAATTTTTGGAATTTAAATGAACACAATCTGTGATTAAATGAAAAATTTGGCTAAAAGTTTTTCCTCCTACCCAGTGTTTTAATAACTTCATCTGCTATTCGTTCTTGTCGTTCTGGATAATTTCCAAAGCACAACAGTGCCCATGCTAAGGTTGTGCTTGTTGTTTCTGATCCAGCGTCAAAAAGATCTCGAATGAATTGAATGAGCATTTGTTTCTAAATATAATATTTAAAAAATAGTGATTATTGGTAATATGATTGGACTATATATAATATGAACGAATATACAAATAAAATTTCAAACGATCCATCAGATTTTTTTTAAGTCAGTCATGACAAATTTGGTGTTTCAAGAAAGAAGTTTTCTTGCATCATGATCTAATCTAATTGAGATTACATTTACGCAAGAATATTTTTAGGTTTTGCATGCTCAAATCTTAAATTTCAAACAAATATATATAAATATTTTTTCTTGTTATTTTCATCAATCACCGATTGGCCGTAGACAAAGATTCGAGCAAACAAATGACGAATGTTTTTAGTAGAATACTTGAATTAGAGCGAACACAACTCACATTGAAGCTTTTATCGTTCGTTTTGCTTCTTTTCATCTCAACTAGAAAGGCATCAATGAAGTCATGAATGTCGTTTTCGTCAAAGTTGGATTCGTGCTTCTCGACTATCTCGCGTAAGTAACCTAAAAACACACAATGTGTTAAATTCGGTGCGATATCCTGGGACTGTGAGCTTTCGACTAAACTAAGTTGGTATGGTAGATCGAAAGTCTGGGAATCAAATCCCGTTTCCATCACCTCACCCAAGGTGTAGATATAACAACAATTTATACCAAAAATAAAGAACAAGTCTCGCACATTTTTGTGTATGTGAAAATTATAGGTAGTGTACAATCCTATACATGTGGGACGGGTGACAAGCTCAACCGTGTTTCAGTGAATTCCGTTGATCACAAATTGTCTACTAAATTGTGAAGAACCGAGTGAGTGCTAGATCAACGTTTGAATTCACGATACAAATAGAATTATTTCACCCAAATACTAAAATAAATCTTACCTAACATACTGTTTGAATCATCTTTGGTAATCTTTGCAACTCCTTTGAATGGCGGGAAGAATCGTAACAGTGGGGCCAATGACAACGCTGTCAAGAGTTTGGAATGCGTTGTGTTTTCGGCACTGTAGATGTAAAAATTACAGTATTACCGGGGTGTAATAAATTTGATAGGCGATGTTGCATATATAAAATAAATCTTACTGCTAAAATAGGGGCCCCGGACTTAACAGTGACTGCTAGTAGAGGGATGTTTTTTGCGTTGTATTTAGTAGTTCCCCGCATATCAATGGATACTATCACATTTTTATCGTTCTTCATTTTTAAAAATTAGTTATATGTACATGTATGTGAAAATTCGCACAAATCATGGTCACGCACATACTATCGGAGATATTATGCATCGATCACTGGAACTTACGGGCGATCAATTTAGTACCAAAGTTATAAGACTATAAATACTTAGAGCGAAATATATGTATAAACTATATATATATAATAAGAACTATGTAGGTCTTAGAAAGTCTGACCTTGGTCAGACGAAACGTTAAAGAAATATATTTGTGTTAGTGTGCAGTAAGACTCATGAATCACTTTTAAGATAATTAATTTGGCATTTTATATTTTTAACTACATTTTTCCACCATTTGAACATATCATCTTCTTTTTTATGTTAATTTTAGATCAGGAATGTCAGTTGTATTGGTAAAGTTTACTTTAAGAACTCCTGGGGTTCCCGGCAGGTCATATAGATCGGCATGAATTCAAAATTAGCTGATCCACACTAAACGTTATATTAGCGCAATGGCCAAGCGTACAAGGCGACAGACTTTGCTATGTTGGCAGCACATGTAATATCTCACGCGTTAAATTTTCATTCCGGCTCCTCACCCGGATTGTAATAGATTGGAAATCCTATGACAGAATCATATAATAGCAGATCATAACTTATCAATGAATTTCAGTATACGGACATTTTGGGGCAAATGACGTGAATGTAAAAAAAATTCGAAATTTAAACAAAAATTATATAAACAAAATTAGTATAAACTTACTATTTCTGAACGATTTCCAGCATGTGATTGAATTTTTTGTCATTATATTCAAACCTCGAACCCAATATGACTCGGCAAATAATATTTGACACGGCTAGAAATAGCTTCGCCTAAAATATAAATGAGAAAATTGAAAACAAATACAAAGAAAGAACGTGAGTGATGCTCACATATATGGACACGAAAGACCTCATCATTTTGAAAATATTATATTAGATTGAAGGTATTGTTTATTGACATCTCGTTTAAGTAGTATATTTTGATAAGTAAGATAATCGTTTTGAAAATTGAATAACGACGATTCATTTGAATTCAAATGACCAAATAGTGACTCCGACTTTTATATTTTATTAAATTAAAAAAGAATTTTGTTTTACTATTATCAACATTCATTTATCAACAAAAATCACATTCACATTTATTTCCTACATTTTATCATATTTATCAAGGATTAAGCATAACAATAATATCATACATGCAATCTTTGTCCGTTTTTACTTGTCAAATTTTCTATTAGAAAAGGTGTTTCTTCGATTACATTTGCCTCCATTCCTTTCTTGCCGACACCAAATCTGAATTTTTTTTCATAGTGAACTGCTTATGTTCGGCAGACAGATTTTGATTTATTAAAAAGGGTCTTATCCATCTCATTTATTTACTTTTTAGGGAGACCGATGTCTAGCTGCTTTTCGGCGGGATACCGGTGATCATAAATCGGCAAAATTATCGATTTAAGCGATCACTGTTTTTAACTTTGTTAAAGTGTTAACTTGACTTTGTCTCAATAGCAGATTAAAATATATCGGTTTCAATTTACTCCCCACAAGTTGGGATCAGTTTGCGAAAATGTGGGTAAGCCATGGTGAACCGAAAAACTGCAGCCCCAATAAAATATTGAACTTCACTTTTTCAGGAATGAGTGTGGGATTACATAATCAGAATCAAAAGCGTGTGAAAATGTCATGTAAAAATCAGTCGAAAACTGTTCAACAATAATAGTTTGTATAAATATTTACCCTTTTAAAGTCATCAATCCAAACTTATGCAAATCTTTCCAGACAGGTCCGTAATCTCTAGTGTTTAGAGCTCGACCTGTTGTTATGAGATCAAAAACATAATTTTCTGGGCGTCCGGAAAATTTATCTCCTTGTTTCACCAGTGCCTGTAAAAAGAAAGTGTGATGTGTCAGCAATAGCGTTCAGGCCAAATAATCGAGGAATGACGAAGCACAGAGTTTCTGTTTCGTCTTGAAACAGTCGTAAGAAGCATGTGGTGTTGGTTGGGGTTCAATTTGATTGCCTGTTCGTTGGCATTCTCTCTGAGGTTGAAACTTACCTGTGTTTTACAACAGGCTTAGCCAGCGCCCTGGTCTAATTATTTAAAGCGTTACACCAACATTTTGGCATCACGTATGATATATATCGAGTTCAAATGTCATGTCCACAAGATCATACAAGGTGTAATAAATAGGATGGGCATCGACGGACCGAGTAACACTTTACATATCTTGAGATATTAATCCTTGATTTTATAGATACTCTTCGAGGCGGAAGGTGTGAATAATCGAAATGGAAAACATAAAAAAAAAAAATTTACTGAATATATGTGATAAAGATGTAGAATTCTTGTCAGAAACGTTGCATAGAGGAGTGATAGAATAAATTATAACATTATAGGATCAACGCAATGCTTTTTCCTGGGTCAAATAACGTAGTCAACAACATTTTTCGGAAATGATATATGTCTAAAGGCAGGGGTCGGCAATCTTTTGTTGCTCGCAGGTCAGAATTAAGGGTTGCAAGTCATTGGCGGGCCTCAAATATTTTTAGAAAGTTGAAAACCGACGAGAATACCTTTTACAATAAAAATCAATCAGTGATACACCTCCCGAACAGAATAGAGATTTATTTCCTCATTGCGATGCATCTCAAAAAACCTCATTCGAATATTTCCGGCGCCATTTAACCCTTTGAACTTAGTATCAACTTTTCTGCGTTTTGTTGTCATTTGTCTAATTATAATAATATTATAGGCTCATTAAACGAGTAATTGTGAATTATATACTTGTTAGGTTGGGATAAAATTTAGTCTACACGTGTCTCACAATAAATTCTGTTACATAATGAATATAATCTTCCAAACAGCTGTTTTGTTACTATACTTCAGTGAAGCGTCGCGAGCCGGATCCGGTCCGTGGCCTTAGGTTGCCGAACCCTAGTCTAAAAGTAGCAAAATAATCTACGGCAAATGAGAAACTTGCGCAACTGGAAGATTCAAAAATGAATTATAATTTACAAACATCATACTACTCGTTTCGACATATTCAACATAATCTCCTTTACCGACGTTGTTTGCATGTAGTTCGAACTTTCAATTTTTAATCTGCGTTCAAATAAAACAAATACTGTCCATTCTTACCTCGTTAATATTGTCAAAGTCATTCAATATAACCCAATCATCTCGCCCCATTTGTACAGACATCACAGATCCATATTTTTCCTTCAATTGTCGCAAAGTTTCTCCGGGATTTATTCCAATGAATGGGATATAACCGACGATCGGAAGTCCATATGGACCAGGTGGAAAACCCTTTGGTCTTTTCATCATATAGAAGCAGAATATAAAGGTCGAAACACCAACAAAACTCGTAGCGTAATCGAAAGAGGCAGTCCAAGACATACTTCCGTTTTCGTTAAGATAACGTCAATCGTTCGATAAAATATTGGATATGTATATATTCTATAAACAAAGGTGAAACTTAAATATATATAAAGCCAAAAGGCCGGGTATCGTAACAGTACGGTAATGCCTGAGAGCCCCGAATAGTTTGAAAGACCGGCAGACAAGCAATATGTACGAGGCCGACAGTATTACTACGTAGTCAAACTAATTTCATTTTTGCATTGCCGGAGCAATATACAGTTCTAGAGAAATACATACAACCCATGTGAATAAAAAATCTCAAACGTATTTTCTGAAGTATGCCTTAGTTGAAGCTCATACTAACCAGGTTCAAAGAGCAAGTCATTACACTTCCACACATAAGTATAAATTCGTTATACGTTGTTTTCTCTGCCTCTGCGATATATAATCTCAATGCAAAAGATTTACATAATTTTGTGAATCGCTCAATTAAATTACTTTTTTTTTGTGACGACAAATAAACGATTGACTGACTGACTATATTGTGTACGTTATTTGGTCTGCCTCGAATATACACGATTGAAATTTTCGTAAATATTTGCTCAATACACGTTTTACAACGTTTCATTGCAATGTGCCAAAATTGAAATGACGTTGCTAGACATTTACGATATCTGTATAGCCTGACGTGAAAATTCTGAAACGCACAATAAATGTTTTTCTCAAATTGGTAAAGATTGAAATCGGCAAGCACCTTTCAAAAATTAGTAGCGTTCCTCAGAAATACGGATTATGGTATGTCTTTTATGCGTGCTCACGTCATGACGCCTTAGGACTCATAATCCATGTTGATTGTACATGACAACGTGTACTACATAAGAAGGCTTTATGAACGACGCACACGAGAACGCTCAATTCAACAGCAAATCTATCATTACATTAAGTGAGAAATTAAATAAAAAAAAGGATATTTGTTAGATTACCGTTCCGTAGAACTAAGGATTATGGTAAATTTTTGTATGTAAAAATCATATCTAATACGCCTTAGGGATTCATCAAACGCATCTTGACATATAACGTGTTGATTGTACTTTCATTTTGACACTGTTTATCTCTTAATTATGATGTTTATCTTGCATACAAGTGGGATAAACAAGCTAGCTGCAAGTTGTCGATATTTCGCATTTGGAAGTTGAAAAACTACAAAATGTACAAAATGTGATTATTCAAAGCTTCTCCTTACGTGAATATAAAATACTGTTTATTTTTGTCAGTGATTTATGTTTGGTCAAGACATGAATGTCCCAATAATGAACAAATCAAGCCAAATATTGCAAGTGTAAAACGCGCATATCCTTGAATTGATTTTAGAACACTATCATTCAAAAACGAATTACTTCAAAATGTAAATATATTCTCTTTTTCGTCTGAATCAGGTGTCCTGTCTTGTAAAAAATATCCCTTATCTTAAACTCGATAATTTTATAACATGAATCACGTGATATAGTAATATGATAATATTATAAAAGGGTTATTCGAATTAGATAGAATATGCGTAATGCGCTATTTACTTTCGTTTCATTCTTTTCCATGTACTGCCCCCTTGCGTAAATATAAACGCTCCCGTTGACTTTTAAGATTAGTGAAAATTACGTCATTTCTTACAGTGATTTCTGGACAAGTTTTATAAAAGTGGTCACTAATACCTTGAAAACGGATGGAAAATGATACAACATTTTTACAATCAATTAATATTTGCTGCCAATTTTTACAAAATGGGTAAAACACGGGCGGTCCGATTACTTAGAACAAGGACTTATTTAAATTCAATGCTACATCCCTTGCCAACAGATAGGAACAATAAATACGAATCAGTTCTTCTTTTTTATATTTGTTAGTTTGCCTGGTGAAAAATATTTAATTCTAATTCCTGCCTCACTCAAAACGTTAAAGCCTGTAACTCCTGTAGGATATGAGATTGTATGCAATGTTATGAGGTCATTTAGAAATCTTCTCACCTTGCCTTACAAGTTCTTGAACAAGTGTGACAAGTCACAGTAAAATGAAATTATTTCAAGTTAGCAGGGTGCCCCCCGAAAAACTTGATTTTCTGATATTTTAATTGTGAATTTTGCACCAAAAAGTTTAAGAAATCTTGGAAAATTTGCCCAAAAGTTTAGTTCTATCTCAAATATGTTCAAAATGATTTGAGTTCTATATTTTCGGTCTTCCTTTACCAGACAAATGAAATATTTAAAATATCCAGATATGGCTTCGGAATTTGACTGTACAGCGCACAAATTACGCGGCTTTTTACTCATTGAAAGTATAAAGCATATTGAGCCACATATTGCAATTCATGGGTTCGCAGATCTGAATCCCTAAGAAGAATATAAGTTGAAGGAAAATTGTTAGACACTCGAGGCCTGATGGGATAAAATTATTCATAAAATCATTATATATGATTTAAATCTTATCATATTTCAATGATACTTTTTATATAGGCAATTTGGTACTCCCGTAGTGTGTGCACCTGCTTAGGAAGGGGCCATACTTTTATTCCGATTTTCCTCATTTTAGTTCTATTACTGTCTGTGTTATTCAAGTGGATATACCTCCGCCACAGGTTGCAGTTCCTTTACAGAACTTGATGTATAGTACGCGAACAAAATTATTGATCCCCATATTGATACACACACTTATAGGGCGCGGCACGTTAATACTTTATACTGCTTAAGAGTATCTATTTTTTGTTATTTGATTCTGCAAATAGGCATAAAATTATTACCGAAATATACATCTAAATTTGTTTATCATCGGAGCTCCCATGATTGTTAACTTTATTTTAGTGGTAGTCGAAACACTTATATCTGTTACTGCAACTTTCGTAAATAAAATCTTTGTAATTTTTATACAATTATTTATATAAATTTGAAATATTACAAAATATATGTATCCATTTATCTAGTAACTAGTCAGAGGAGATTCGATCAATCTTTATCAGAGTATTTTAATAAAAAGTTACACGGTTACACGAGTCTAAAAGTCTATAATATACGTTTAGTAAATTTTCGCACTCTTGGGTTAGTCAAAGCACCCGTTTTATAATGTTCTTATGTAAAAGATATCAAGCAATTCATTCAGCGTCTTTCAAAAATGACTTCAAAATTCTGAGGTTGGTAACTGAGTAAGCTGAATCCACCGTCATTAAAAGACGGGAGGGGTTTCTTCGGGTTGGGCAAAACCTTTAGCTTTTGTACTATCGCAGTTAGAAAGATGAAAATCTCCATCTTGGCCAGTTGTTTTCCGATGCAACTTCTTGGACCGATTGAAAAGGGGATCACGTAATTTGATTTTATGAATTTTCCGTCACGGTCGAGAAATCTCTCGGGTCGAAATTCTTCCGGCTTTGCAAAGTGTTTAGGGTCAAAATGAACTGCCCATAAATTTGGAGCGACCTGAAAAAGTAATGATTCTAATATAAGTCAATTTTTTTGACAATTTGCTGTTTCGGAATTTTTATAGCTCATCTTTATAATGTGCTTCTGTGCATATTTATATATATTTTGTACTATTTTCTCAAAGCTTGGCATCTAGCAGCTAGTACTATGTGAAATGATACCAATATAAGGGTTGTGACGTATTTGAATCATCAATCAAATATTTTCCAAAAAAATATTTCATAGTTAAAAAGCTTTATACGAATTTAATGAACATGAGGGAATATAAAGTTAAGCCAGCTTAGGAGAATGGCTCAACATTTCTTTAATATTTGTTGCCAACGTAAATATCATGGAACTTATCCTAGGATTTAAATTTAGCAACCACATCATTAGCATGCATAAAATCATAGAATTAGTTTCTTCTTGAGATGAACAGTTTTTATACACAACAGTTTTTTTTTTATTACATACCGTCGTGTTTTTAGGAATTGTGTATCCATCAAGAGTCGCTTCTTCGTTGGTCTTGTGATATACACTCAATGGGGCCAGCGTTCGATGTCTCATCAGTTCATGTATGAAAGCACATGTATACGGCATTTCATCTTGATGTTTCATACTTGGTAAACCGTCTTCACCTGTTAAATGAATGTAAAAATTTGTTAAGTTTCAAAAGAAGCTAACATTATTTAACAAATATTAATTTGCCCAATTAATTCTTCAGTTTATCATTATATTGTTTTTTATTCTAAATTTATTTTTCGAGTTTGATTTAAATAAACTGAATAACCTAAAATAGTACATCCAATCGAAAAAGATATCAAAAGCTTTTTCAAGAGTCTTGAGGGTCTAAAAATCGTTTCAAGCGTTTAACATTTCAAAAGAAGGAGGTTCCGATCCCACCCCTGATAAATATCGGTTGTATCGTCAAATGGTGTAACGATGTCAAACGCGAATCAATTTTTTCAAATAATCGATAGTTACTTTCACTGTCAACGATATTCAATTAAAAACTAATTGTGAACAAATAAATGATAATTGACGTGCTCATTTTTTATAATCTCAAATACAAGACTTTCATCTCACGGAATGAAAGTCTAAAAATTTGCGGAAGAGAACACCCATATCCTGTAGTGACATTGAGATCTCGTGCATTTATCCACGTCTCTCCGAAAAATTATCAAAAGCTTTTTAAAGCAGTTTAAAGATAAGGGATATGAATGCGATGTATGAATACTGCACATTAAAGCTATTTATTTAGGATCAAAAGTTTGAAAAATTGCTTCTTATGTTATAACATTATATGGTAACCGGTTTTTGTTTGTTATTTTTGACTGTTGCTATGACAAACTAATGCCACATTTGAATGAACACCAAATCAGGATTTCCGAACGATTTACTTAAAAACTTGAAAAAATGAATTTATTCTATTACCTAATGTTTTCATAACTTCATCCGATATTCGTTCCTGGCATTCTGGATAATTTCCAAAGCACAGCAATGCCCAACCTAAGGTTGTGCTTGTCGTTTCTGATCCAGCGTCAAGCAAATCTCGAATGTATTGAATGAGCATTTGTTTCTGAATATAGTAATTGAAATATAGTGTTTATAGGTAATATTGTTAAACCATATATATTATGTACGAATATACCAAAA